TACCATAAATAACTCTGAAATAGTATAGCGCTACCAAGTAAACGAATACTCTTCCAATACTGAATCCAGCTAAGATGTTTAAAACACTGTACACGCGTCTTTGGCCACTTGCTGGTCTTTTGAGGCTGATTGAAAGCCTGTAACAACACAAAAGACCATGAAATTCCGCGTTATGGATACAGCATAAACGTCCAACACGTAATGGCAATTGAAACTTGTCGATTTATGGCACTGTCCGAGTCCTGAGCTAGTCGCTTAAGCCCTGGATTGATTTAACAGGATCAGTAAAGAAAAATGTGCATAAAAGAATGTGTGTTAGTGATGACTATATAAGCAATCCACCTGCGTACTCTGATAAGAGGTACTCCAGTCCAGTCTTCCCATTCGAAAGCCTGTAAGCACAGTAGGAATGTCTCAAACACAAGCTGAGTGTACCATCAAAGTCGGATACGATGCTGTTGTTGTTGGATCGGGCTACGGAGGATCAATTGCTGCCTATCGACTTGCAAAAGCGGGGCTCCGTGTGTGTGTTCTAGAAAAGGGAAGACGATGGGATCCTCACGAGTTTCCAGCAACGCCATGGCAGCTGATTTCCAATATGCGATTTTTCACTCCGTTTGGAAGAATAGGAAAGAGGAATGCTCTTTATGAGGTGAGTCACCGCATTGTGTTCAAACACATGACACAGTTAGTCCATTTTTGCAGGTGCACAGCAACGGAGACTCGATCGCACTAGTTGGCTCAGGACTGGGAGGAGGCTCACTAGTGAATGCTGGCATTATAATGCCCACACCGAAAAGAGCACGAAAGCATCCAAAATGGCCAAGCGAGTGGGAGGAAGACTGGGAGAAATATGAAGCACAATCCCACAGCATTCTGGAGCCGGAATATGCTCAGAATGAGCCGCCAAAGTCCAAAGTGCTAGACCAAATTGCAAACGAGATCGAAGATGCAGCAAAAGATTCCATGAAGTTGACAATAAGTTTCAAACAGAGGAAGAATGCTGCTGGAGTTACACAAAAGGAATGTATTTCATGCGGTAACTGTCTATCAGGATGCAGGTACAATGCAAAGAGCTCAACAGACAAAAATTACCTCGAACTAGCCGCACAGGTACTTTTCCAGCGAAAACTGAAGGCACATCTTCTTACGGAAATCGTATGTGCAGGCCGGAGCCAGAATTTGCACGCAGACGGAAGTGATGTTCATCTTGGATACCTCTAGCCACGCAGAAGAATTTAATTGTCAACCCTGCAATCACGAAGCAAATTGCAAATCAGTAGTTACTAGAAGGTGGCGTGTGTACCTGAATGAAGTGAATTATATTTCAGCAGACTACGTCATTCTAGCTGGTACCACCCTGTAAACGCTTTGATCTTTCGTCGCTAACATCCCTTTTCTACTTCAGCTGGTGTTCTTGGCACGAACGAGATCCTCCTGAGATCAAAAGAGCGAGGCCTACAACTGTCCCAACAGTTGGGGCACGGAGTTAGCTCCAATGGAAATAATATCGCTTACATAACAGGCACAGCTGCACAAACTCAAGCTCGAGGACTAAGAGAAAATGAGTTCTCAAGGACTCCCATGCAGCTACGTCCTGGACCAGTCATATCAAGTTCACACACATCATCACTTGGTTTTACCATACAGGTAATATTACCTTGAAAACACTTAAGCTAAACACTCTTACAGGGATCCTCTATTCCTCGAGCAACTCCCGAGACTTTACTGAGGGGAGTGATTACTTATGGCCAGCATGACTACGGATTCCTTGTTGGTATATGGGAACACATCAAGCAATGGACAGGAATGCAAAACAGCCAAGCTCTAGTCCTGAATATGATGGGATATGACGCTGCTGACGGGCAAATCAAGCTAGACAAGGCAACAGGAAGACTGGAATACAGTGCAGCGAAGGACTTACTTTTTCACCAGAAGCTTCGGACCGCTGAAAGGTTGGCAGCCCGCCTTCGTGGGAAGCTATACATGAGTCGCTTCAGAAGTGTTACAGTTCATCTTTTGGGAGGTTGCAACGCAGCACCAGACTCATCCACTGGCGTGACAAACGCAAGCGGCCAGGTTTTCTTCCCTGAGAAGAACAAATATCAGTTGAATCAGCCAACGAAAGTTCATTCTGGCCTCTACGTCTGCGATGCCTCTTTGATTCCATGCTCCGTTGGATTGAATCCGGTCAGCACCATCTCTATAGTTGCAGAGAGAGTTGCGAATGGAATTGTCCACGACGCACACAACTACCTGTCAAAAAATATTCAGCACGAGGTATTGACTGGCGATCTCAGTGATTTCAAGTCAAGGACATACCTCAACTCGCGGCTTGAGAGCAGCCACGTCATTATCCACGAAAAACTGGCAGGAAATATTGGAGGAGCTCCTTGCACGCTGCGATTGGTGATGCATATGGGACAAGACAAGGATAGGGCTGCATGTAATCTCACATTTGGAGATAGTCACCCCCTGCTGCGTGGATATGTTGGAGGCGATGTTCTTATTCCTTCGCTGGAACCAGGCCCACTTTATGTGGTTGACGGATACGTAGATATGTGCCATGTCGATGAAAGAACTCCTTTCACTCAGTATATGCATTATCACCTGCTTCTGTCAACAAACACAGGCACCAGGTAAGTTATCCTTTCTTCTGTCAATCTGATCTCATTGAAAACTATGGTTTCTGAAGGTATACCTTGGACGGAAGGAAAGAGATGCGACCATTCATGAGCGGCCTAATGTGTTACTCTGATGCAACCACACTACATATCGTTGTTTCGAGCTCAGCAGGACTCACCAAGACCGATTGCCTTGAAAGGAAAAGTGCGGGTAACTCTTCCCGAGTTACTTAAGTCCCTAATATTGTTACGAGGGCCAAGGAAGCGGGAGTTTGTAGGACGACTCCTGGAAACACTTGCTAGGACGTACTTGATGAGAACACCGAGAGCGACAAGCCGGGAAATGGCAAAACCAGAAGACTCGACCGAAAACTATCCAAGCTATGTGCTTCATGAGATTGCCACAGGTAAAAACAGACTTGACTCTTTTACGCAGGCAGTGACAGATTTCTTGTGCAGGAGATGGTGCCCGCATTACCTGCAAGCAATGGTGCTCGAAGGGTGCTGCTCAAGATGAGAACTTCAAAATTGTTTTGCTTCTCAATGGTTATGCCACAGAGAGTTTCTGTGTCCCTACGGAAAACCACGACATCGTAAGAACACTTATAGAGAATGACTATGAACCTTGGCTCTTGCAAACACGTTTCCATCCATCGCATCCGACCCCAACTTCTTTCACTTTCGATGATGTCGCTCGGTTCGACATTCCAGCCGGTATGTGCACTCTGTCAAAAACCGAGAAAGTTTAATGCTGGAAAATTTTACAGCATTTGCAAAGATGAGCCACGTCAAGAGAAAGCCGGTAGCAGCACACGTTATTGCTCATTGCATGGGGGGACTCTCAATTCACATGAGCTTGATGGGTGGATACATACCTCCATCGTCGATAGCATCACTGATTTGCACAAACTCGTCCATGTTCTTCAACTTGGTTCCATCAGCGCTCGTCAAGTTGACTCTGCCTCTCATTCCTGTAAGTAGTTTTTGCGTTAGCCATAAAAAAAAGGAGACTTACGTCTTGTTGTTTATCTACTACAGATTTCTATGACAATCCTGGGAAAGAAGCTCGTCATACCAATAAGTCCTCCGCAAGAAGAACCGATGTCGTGGCGACACAAGCTACTCCGCGCAATTGCTCGAGCGATACCACGCACGGAGCGCTGCCACTGTGACGAATGCAATGTTTTCTCAGGAATATTCGGCAACACATTCTGGCACGAGAAAGTCAGACTGGAAACGCACAACTGGTTGACCAAGCAGGCAGTGCAAACTCTATCAATGGCAGCATTGCCACACGCACGTAAAATCGTTCTCGCGGGACACGTAGTAGACAACGAGGGGAAAAACGAGACTTACATGGCTCATCCGGAGAGGCTAGCAGTCCACACCACGTATATCTCCGGCGGCCGCCCCATTCTCGTCACTCCAGAGACCTCTCTCCGCGCGCACGGATTCATGAAGCGGCATCACCCTGGACTCAGCCACGCTCGAATCGTGATTCAAGACTACGGACACTCCGACCTGTGGATCGGAGAGCATTCGCACGGGGACGTGTTCCCGCTGGTGCTGGAGCGCCTCAAATCCGCCGGGAGAAGCCATCCGAGCGATAACCTCCAGAAGAATGCGATACTGCCGTGGGAGGAGTCGCTGATCGCTGGTAGGAATGGCGCGTGCGGCGGCGTTGTCTTCATCCTGATGGCGCTGCTCGCGATCGCCTTGCTCTGCTTGGTAAACCCTTGAATCTGCCAGTACAATGGTGATCACAACTTGTGATTTGATGCAAACAAATCAGGGAGGATGCACTGCTCCATTACACTGTCCGTGAGAGCAAGCCCCATCATCTGAAACTATTACATTGTTAGCTAAGAAAGAGCATCCTTTAAACCCTTTTGTGTGCTTCCAATTCCATGCTATTTGGGAACTTATGACCACTATATGGCTGCATCAAGTGGTGGTGCTTGTCAAACCAATCCAATGTCTCCATACCTCAATTAGAACAAGAGAGAGCATGTTAGACTTATCATTAGCTGCACTTGCCAGTTAGTGCTGGAGTTTGTCGCCACTGGAGTATAGTGAGTTTTTCTAGCTCATTTTTTTGACTCGGATGATAGCAATGCATGTTGACTAGTGGTTTAGCAATTAAGAATTTTTATTTTACTATTGTTGTTGAGGAGTTTTTTTTTTTCCTTCATGAATGAACAGTCTTAAAAGTCCACTTATCTTCCCATAGTTTAGTATCAACAAGGTTTAACCAATCTCTTTAATTTTTGCCAAAGTATTTTATAAGCCTTGTTATATAGGATTTTTGTGTTTTTTTTATAACAAAAAGTTTGAGCAATTTTTTTTTCTTATTTCCTTTTAACAATTGCTATTTTTTTTTTCTCTTCCACTTTATTTCTCACTTTCTCCTCAATCTTAATTTTTTTTCTTTAAAGGAGTGAGTCCGATCCTAACAATATAGTAAGGACTAGTGCTAATCATATTAAAGTGAGGATGTTAAAGTCTACCAAAAAATAAAAAAGTAAACGAAACAAATTCAACGTCAAATTTGTATGCGTGTTGTGCTGAAGGATGGTACCTTGATAGGCAGTTCTTTGTCCCTAGAACATCTCGACGAGGGTGAATTTCTGTAAGAGGGGAGAACAAAGAGGGGAGAACAAAAGTGAGACGAGTTATGTCTCAAACGCAAGTGGAACGTACCATCCAAGTCGGGTACGACGCGGTTGTTGTTGGATCTGGCTATGGAGGATCGATTGCTGCATATCGACTCGCAGAAGCAGGAATCCGTGTGTGCATTCTCGAGAAAGGAAGACGATGGGAGCCTCACCAGTTTCCAGCAACGCCCTGGAAATTGCTTTCCAGCACGCGTTTTCTTACTCCATTTGGAAGCATTGGGAAGAAGGATGCACTCTATGAGGTGAGTTACTGGATAGCATTGTACTTCTCCTGTTAAAACATATATACACACAGTTAGTCCATGTTTACAGGTGCACAGCCACGGAGACTCTGTCGCTCTAGTTGGGTCAGGACTGGGAGGAGGCTCGCTAGTGAATGCTGGAATTATCGTGCCCACACCGAAAAGAGCACGAATGCATCCAAACTGGCCAAGCGAGTGGCAGGAAGACTGGGATCTATACGAAGCAAAATCTCACAGCATTCTGGAGCCTGAAGAAATCCTGCACGAGGCTCCAAAATCAAAAGTGCTAGACAAAATTGCAAACGAGATAGAGGACGCAGCAAGAGATTCCATGAAGTTGACAATAAGTTTCAATCAGAAGAAGAATGCTGCTGGAGTTACACAAAACGAATGCATTTCATGCGGTAACTGTCTATCAGGATGCAGGTACAACGCAAAGAGCTCAACAGACAAAAATTACCTCGAACTAGCCGCACAGGTACTTTTCCAGCCAAATATGAAGGCACATCTTCTTACGGAAATCGCATGTGCAGGCCGGAGCCAGAATTTGCACGCAGACGGAAGTGATGTTCATCACCGAGAACTCAGAAGAATTCTGTTGTCAACCCTGCAATGATGGAGCAAATTGCAAATCAGTAGCTACAAGAAGATGGCGTGTGCACCTGAATGAAGTGGATTATATTTCGGCAGACTACATCATCGTAGCCGGTACTATCTTGTAGAAGCTCGAAACTTTCGTTGCTAATATTTGCTGCCCCTTCTTTCTTCAGCTGGTGTTCTTGGCACGAATGGGATCCTCTTACGATCAAAAGAGCGAGGCCTACAACTGTCCCAACAGTTGGGATACGGAGTTAGCTGCAATGGAAATAATATAGCTTACATAACAGGCACAGCCGCACAGACTCAAGCTCAAGGACTTCGAGAAGAAGATTTCTCAAGGACTCCCATGCAGCTACGTCCTGGTCCAGTCATATCAAGTTCACATACATCATCACTTGGCTTTACAATACAGGTAATATGAGTGAAATAAGCTTATATCAAGCTAAACACCTCTTTCAGGGCTCTTGTATTCCTCAAGCTGCTCCAGAATTTCTACTAAGGGGAGTCATTACTTATGGCCTAGGGGACTACGGGTTTCTCACTGGTATCTGGGAACAAGTCAAACAATGGACAGGAACGCAGAACAGCCAAGCTCTGGTATTGAATATGATGGGATATGACGCTGCTGACGGGCAAATCAAGCTAGACAAGGTAACAGGAAGAGTGGCATACAGTGCAGCGAAGGACTTACTTTTTCATCATAAGCTTCGGACCGCTGAAAAGTTGGCAGCTCGCCTTCGTGGGAAGCTGTACATGAGTCGCTTCAGAAGTGCTGCCGTTCATCTTTTGGGAGGTTGCAACGCAGCAACAGACTCATCCACCGGCGTGGCAAACGCAAACGGCCAGATTTTCTTCCCTGAGACGAGCAACGGTCAGTTCAGGAAGACAACAAAAGTTCACGCAGGCCTGTACGTTTGCGACGCCTCTTTGATTCCATGCTCAGTTGGACTGAATCCGGTCAGCACGATCTCAATAGTGGCAGAGAGAGTTGCGAATGGCATTGTCAACGATGCGCAGAACTACCTGTCACAAAAGTTTCAGCACAAAGTATTTACTGGCGATCTTAGTAATTTAAAATCAAGAACATACCTCAACTCGCGACTTGCTTCCGAAATGCAGTGCAGCTATGTCATTATCCACGAAAAATTGAAAGGAAATATTGGAGGAGCTCCTTGCACACTGCGACTGGTGATGCATATGGGACAAGACAAAGATACGCCTGCAAGCAATCGTTTGTTTGGAGATAGTCATCCTCTCCTGCGTGGATATGTTGGAGGCGATGTTCTTATTCCTTCGCTGGAACCAGGTCCTCTATATGTGGTTGACGGATACGTAAATATGTGCCATGTCGATGGAAAAACTCCTTTCACTCAGTATATGCATTATCACCTGCTTCTGTCAACAAACACGGGCACCAGGTAAGTTTTCCTTCCTCCTCTAAATCTGGTCTGGTCTCATGCAAAACATGCTATGGTTTGTGAAGGTATACTTTGGACGGACGGAAAGAGATGAGACCATTCATGAGCGGCTTAAAGTGCTTCTATGAGTCGACCACGCTACATGTCGTTGTTCGAACTCAGCAGGAGTCATCAAAACCGGTTGTCCTGAAAGGAAAGTTGCGAGTAACTCTTCCCGAGTTACTTAAGTCGCTAATATCCTTGCGAGGACCAAGGAAGCGGGAGTTTGTAGGACGGCTGATGGAAACACTTGCTAGGACGTACTTGATGAGAACACCAAGGACACCAACAGAGAAGGTGACCAGGAAACAAAACTTGACAAACAACTATCCAAACTACGTGCTTCACGAACTCGTGACAGGTACGAAACAAATTTCTTAACAGGCAGTCATTCTGACACAAGCATGATGGATGGCTGTAGAGGACGGTGTCCACATTACCTGCAAGCAATGGTGCTCAAAAGATGCTGCGGAGAGCCACAACTCCAGAGTGGTTTTGTTGCTCAATGGTTACTCCACGGAGAGCTTCTGCCTTCCTACGGAAAGTAATGACATCATACGAACGCTGATACAGAATGATTACGAACCTTGGCTGCTGCAAACACGTTTGCATCCACTGCATCCAGCAAAATATTCCTTCACTTTCGACGATATTGCTCACTTCGACATTCCATCTGGTATGTTCCTGTTTTTTCAAGGAGGAAAATTTTAATCGCTAAAATTTGCAGCGTTTGCGAAGATAAACCAAGTCAAGAAAAAGCAGATAGCGGCACACGTTATTGCTCACTGCATAGGAGGACTATCAATTCACATGAGCTTGATGGGTGGACACATACCTCCATCGTCGATCGCATCGCTAGTTTGCACAAACTCGTCCATGTTCTTCAACTTGGTTCCATCAGCGCTCGTGAAGTTGACTCTGCCTCTCATCCCTGTAAGTAGTTTTTTGCGTTAGCCATCTACCAACTGAGAATTACATCTCTACGTTTTTCTACAGATTTCTATGAAAATCCTGGGAAAGAACACCATCGTGCCGATAAGTCCTCCTAAAGAAGAATCAATGCCGTGGCGACACAGACTACTGCGCTCAATCGCTCGAGCGATACCACGCACTGAAAGCTGTCCCTGCGATGAATGCAATGTTTTCTCAGGAATTTTCGGCAGCACATTCTGGCACCAAAACGTCGGGCTAGAAATGCACGACTGGCTGAACAAGAAGGCAGTGCCAGTTCTTCCAATGGCAGGATTTCCACATTTGCGATCAATCGCTCTAGCGGGACACATAGTCGACAGTGAAGGAGAAGAGGAGACTTACATGGCTCATCCGGAGAGGCTAGCAGTCCACACCACGTATATCTCCGGCGGCCGCCCCATTCTCGTCACTCCAGAGACCTCTCTCCGCGCGCACGGATTCATGAAGCGGCATCACCCTGGATTCAGCCACGCTCGAGTCGTGATTCCAGATTACGGACACTCTGACCTGTGGATCGGAGAGCATTCGCACGAGGACGTGTTCCCGCTGGTGCTGGAACGCCTAAAATCCGCCGAGCGGAGCGATCCGAGCGATAATCTGCAGAAGAACGCGATATTGCCGTGGGAGGAGCCACTGGCCGGCCACAAGAAAGCCGCTGGGAGGAGCGCCGTGGCCATCCTGATGGCGCTGCTCGCGATCGCCATGCTGTGCTTGCTTGCCCTGATAAACCCTAGCTCTAGAATTTGAAATTCCCGCCAAAAATGCTTGAGAAAGGAGATAAAAAGAAAATTCCTTGTGAACAGGACCAAGATTGAATATTGACGTTTGTTCTTTTCACAAAGACAAGAATGATTCAAGCAAGGTCGTTTGTTCTTCTCATAAACTCCAACATGCGAGAGCTCCTATAAAATAGCTTTCAAGCAAATGAGAAGAACGCGGTATCGTTTTGAGATGGCTTCTCCGCCTCGCACCTTCGATGTTGTAGTGGTGGGCTCTGGCTATGGCGGAGCCATCGCTGCGTGCCGGCTCGCTCAAGCTGGTTTGAGCGTCTGCGTTTTGGAGAAAGGCAAGCGATGGGAGCCTCGGGATTTTCCAACGAATGTGTGGCAGCTTCTTTCCACCATGCGCTTCCACACTGGATTCGGCAGCTTTGGAAGGAAGAACTCGTTATACGAGGCGAGCAAAGCTTGAAAGAAGAAAGACCTCTCACTCACCTTTGATGTTGTTAATGTTCTCAGGTGTATGTTGATGGAGATTCACTCGCCGTGACAGCGTCTGGGCTTGGAGGCGGATCTCTGGTGAACGCTGGAGTGATCATGCCGACGCCTCGAAGAGCTCGCCGTGATCCGCGCTGGCCGGAAGAGTGGGACAGAGACTGGGACGAGTTTGAGGCGAAGGCACAAGAGATCTTGCAGCCCGAGAGTGTGCCCCACGACTTTCCTAAGACACAGATCATGGATAAGCTTGTAGAAGATATCGAAGACATGTCTAGAGTTCCAGTGAAGCTTACCATGACATTCTCGAGTAAGAAAAGTGTCGCTGGAGCAGCACAGGATGCCTGCGTTGCCTGTGGGAACTGTTTAACAGGATGCTCTTACAACGCCAAGAGCTCCACTGACAAGAATTATATCCAGCTCGCTGCACAGGTATGTCGAAGCCAAAAAGTTTAGTTTTTGGTAGAGCAAAAAACAAAACTTTTGCAGGCAGGAGCTCAAATCTACACCGAGAGAGAAGTCCTGTTCGTAAGCCAAAGTCCAAAAGCTACAAGCAGCCACTTCCAGGCTCCCTTTGGCAAGGCTCAAAGCAGGAGATGGCGAGTTCATGAAAACTCAGTGGACTACATCTCAGCAGATTACGTCGTGTTATCCGGTAAGAAAAACTTGACACTCCAGAGGTTGCTGACTTTCATCTGCCTTCTTCTTTCTCAGCTGGTGTTTTAGGAACGACTGGGATCTTGCTCAGATCAAAAGAGCGAGGCTTGCAACTTTCAGAAAAGCTGGGGAGAGGAGTCAGTTGCAATGGAAACAACATTGCATTCGTAACAGAAGCCTCTGCACAAACTCAAGTACGCGGACTAGGAAAGGAAAAGTTTCCAAGCACGCCGCTCCCACTAAGACCAGGCCCATCTATTTCCAGCTCGCACACCTCCTCTCTCGGCTTCACCATTCAGGTAACATTTCGCAATGCATCAAAGCTCTAACTTCTACGACCATAGGCTTCAGCAATCCCGAAAGCAAGTTCCTACGTAATCTTGAAAGGAATCCTCATAAACAGGTGGCCAGTCAGCTGGGGAATCATTCATGCTCTTTGGGACCAGTTCATGCAGTGGATAACTAGACAGAACATTCAGGAACTTCAACTTAATTTGATAAGCTATGACTCCGGGGATGGACACGTTACCTTGAACGAGAAATCTGGAAAAATCACGTACCAGGCATCCAGTGACTTGCTCTTCTGCAAAAAACTCGAACGAGTTAAGAAGATTGCTTCTAAACTTGACGGGAAGCTCTTTCTACCTCGCTTCCGGAGCAACTCGGTGCATCTCCTAGGAGGCTGCAATGTTTCGACGAGCATCACTTCCGGGGTCACGAGTCCGAGTGGACAGGTTTACGCTCCACCTGCAAGTAATCAAGCCAACGCTCATAACAGTGATGAAAGGAGCAACAAGAATGTCCATGCAGGCTTATACATCTGTGATGCATCGGTAATTCCATGTTCGATAGGCGTCAATCCAGTAGGCACTATAGCAATTGTGGCAGAAAAGGTATCAAGCTGCATAGCAAAGGATGCAAAATATTACCTCTTCTCGCGAAGGCAAAGCTTGAGTTCCTTGGAACATCCTGTCCAGGACGAGCCACTGAAAACCAGCAAAGTTACTATTGTCAATGAGACACTCGACGGAAGTTTCGATGGCATACCTTGCACGTTGAAGCTAACAATGCATATAGTTTCGAAAACGACGAACTGCACAACCATTCTCCATGGCCAAGTAGGAGGAAAGCTGCTCATCCCGTTGCTAGAAAAGGACCCCTTGCATGTCTTGGACGGATACGTCAACCTGTGTTCGCTGAGCGAGAAGTCTCCCTTCACTCAGTTTATGCGTTACCATCTGCTTCTATCCACGTCTTCAGGCCGCCGGTAAGTGAAGTCCTAGAAATCCAGAAAGTGACGAGCAGACTGGCAGGTTCTTGTTGATGGCAAAAAAAGAGATGAGGCCCTTCCTCTGCGGTCTCTGGATCTATAAGGAATCGACCACACTTAACGCACAGCTCGTCGATCTTTCAGGCAAGGAGAGTGCCAACCCTTCAGTACTCCAGGGAACTTTGCACGTCAGTGTCTTCAATCTTCTGAGGTCGTTGATAAGCTTGAAAGGACCAGGGAAATTTTCGTTTCTTAAGCAGTTGCTATCGAGTCTGCTGCAAACATACTTTTCTGGACGTCCCCGGCAAATTGATCAACCTTCCGAAGTAAATGTCAGAACGGAAAACGAAGTACTCGACTATCCTAGTTATGTTCATCATGAGATGCAAACCAGTAAGTGCAAAAAACAGGTGATGCTACTTCAAGCGGTCCTAATGCACAGTACGATGTTGCTTGCAGAAGATGGAGCAAAAGTTACCTGTAAACAATGGCCACTTTCCATGGACCAGAAGAAAGGACTGGTGCTGCTTTTGAATGGCTACTCCACTGAAAGCTTCTGCCTCCCTACCGAGCCACAAGATATGGTCCGAACGCTTCTGCAAAATGGATATGAGGTATGGCTGTTGCAGACAAGAGTTCACCCATCTCACCCCGGCCAAGAAAAGTTTGATCTTGATGACATTGCGAAGTTTGACATTCCAGCAGGTAAGCTGCATCACATACACGCAAAGTAGAGTCAGCTAACGAGTTTTGCAGCGTTTGAAAGAATGGAACAATCAAAAAATGGCCCAGCTTGTGCTCACGTCATTGCGCATTGCATCGGCGGACTACTGATTCATATGGCCATAATGGGAGGACACTTACCTGTCTCTCGTGTTGCTTCACTGGTCTGCACAAACTCGTCAATGTTTTTCAGCCTGGTTCCAGCGGCATTGGTGAAAATGGCACTTCCTCTGATACCTGTAAGTTTTAAGAATCAGTGCACGAGCTAACAAAGATTTCCGCAGATATCCATGAAAATTCTGGGAGATCATAAAACACTTCCAATCACCAATCAGAAGCGTGAACAAAAACTACCAACAAGACACAAACTTATCCGAGCAATAGCTCGAGCGATACCACGAACGGAGTGCTGCGTGAGCGACGAATGCAGCATTTTCTCAGGCATATTTGGCAACACATTCTGGCACGAGAACGTAAGAAAAGAAATGCACGACTGGCTTGTGAGCCAAGCGGTACCCGTTCTACCACTGCAAGCTTTCCCACATCTAAGAAAGATCGCGAGAGCTGGCCATATAGTAGATGCCAGGGGACAAGAAACTTACATGACAAAACCGGAGAGGCTCGCGCTTCCCACGACTTACATCTCCGGAGGCAAACCAATCCTGGCAACACCACAAATGTCTGAGCAAGCGCACGAATTCATGAAGAAACACCATCCCACCTTCGATCACGCTCGCTTCGTGATGACGAGCTATGGCCATTCGGATCTATGGATCGGGGAGAGCAGCCACACCGACATTTTCCCGCTGATCATCGAGCGCCTTCGATCCGTGGAGAAAGATCCAGCTCCGGAGCGGCGGGAAGCAAACAGGAGGAGAAATCTACCTCTGCCATGGGCGATCGCTCCAGCCCGTGCGAGAATACTTCCTGTGGGAGTGGCATTAGGGTTTCTCACGTTATGCTTTGCTTTTAAAAGTTTCTAGTTTCCCTCCCCGCCATAGCGTAGGGTTTCTCTCTTGGCGCCAATCGTCCAGCTTCAATCGGCTCCAATCGATCGAAATTTCAATGGCCGAGCTCGCAGAACGGCGATTGTGCGAGGAGCCGAATCCGCGCAGGTAACAAAGATGGATTTCCCATCAATGCAGCTGAAAAATCTTGTTTCTTAGCTATCAAACATTTCTATTCGAGAAAGCACTGGCAATGAACACGATCGTGTGCCTGGAAACTGGGTGTGGCAAAACGATGATCGCTGTGCTTCTCATTCGCTCACTTTCTCACTTATTTCGCAAGCCAGAGAAAGGGATTTGCGTGTTTTTGGCCCCAACAGTGAGCCTTTGCGAGCAGGTTAGCATCTTGCTTTCTATCGTGCTAGTATTTTCGACTTTTTATATGGTTGGCAGCAAGCCGAGGTCATTGAGCGCTACACTGACCTTTACGTTGGTACTTACGTCGGTGGAACTTCCACCATGGATGTTCATTGGTGGACAACGCATCTTCAAAAGCAAGAGGTTCTTTCTTTCTATTAACTTTGGCTTTACTCTTCTTGCGTGGAGCCTACAGGTTTTTGTTATGACTCCTGCGATTCTGCTGGACAACCTTCGCCATCGATTTTTCAATCCGGATCATGTTGAGCTGCTAATTTTTGACGAATGTCATCACTGTGCCAAGGGGCATCCTTATGCGAATATCATGAGCGTAAGTGCTGGGTTTTAAACTTTCTTCTGCTTCGTTTTCTGATAGTGTTACTGCATTCACAGGAGTTTTATCACAAGCCTGAAGCTAAGTGTCCGAGAATATTGGGCATGACGGCGTCACCCATTGTTGGAAAAGGTACGAGGATGTTGTCTGCATGAACCTCACCTGCATTTACAGGCAAGACGTGGAGCGGTCCACAAGCTTTCAAAGAAAGTTTTGATTGCCTTGAAACTATGCTACGCTCAAAGGTTGTTGTCTATCTAAAGTCTCATTTGATGGACCCGCTGGTCTTTTGTCACAGATTATCACTTTCGCAGATGAAGAGCTAACTAGCTTTTTACCATCATCTGATATGAAAATCAAGGAGTACTTGCCAGACACGAAAGGCAAGCATCGTACAACGGACATCGACAATCGTTTCGAGGTCAACTGAAAGAATTAGCTTGTTATTGTTTAACACATGTTGCACATTTCAGAACTTAACCAGAGAATTTGGACTTCCAGAAGAAAGGCAAGCTGTAAATAAGATATACAACACTCTGAACTACTGTCTCTTTGAGTTGGGCCTCTTCTCTGCAAGAAAGGTTGGGCTAAACAATTTGGGAACTTACGAAATCTCGTATTACAGGCGGCAGAGATTATGCTCGCTGGCTGTGACGGAAAAGGACGTGATGCGGAGGCCGCATTCTTGAGGCGTGTGCTAAACATTCTGGAAGAGAAAGCGATTTTGGACGGTAACATATAGTAAGTTTTAACTGACAAGTGCGTTCTTGGACAGGTACTGCAGATGATCAAATCCGTGCCATTTCTTCTAAAGTCCAACTTTTACTGGATGTGCTTGATGAGTACAAGTGAGACATAATTTTCCCCAATCACACTAATAACTGTTACGGCTTTGTTATGCAGGTCTGCCCAAGATCTTCGTTGTATTGTGTTTGTTGAGAGAGTGATTGCAGCCAAGGTTTTAACTCTGCTTTTGAACTCTCGTCCCTACGTTAGAGCACAGTGTGTAGCAAGTCACAGAAATAAGTTGAAGGGCTTAACTCTGGCAACTCAGAGAAACTCATTGGAAGACTTTCGTGCTGGAAAGGTGAAAATCGAGTTTCTCTGATTTCTCTTATGCAACAATGCTATATAACTGTTCATTACAGGCTAATGTCATTGTGGCGACTAATGTTGCTGAAGAAGGCCTTGATATTCAAAGCTGTTCTCTTGTTATACGATTCAACATGCCTAAAACCGAGCGTAGCAGTATTCAGTCAAGGGGCCGTGCACGTAAACAAGGATCTGACTACGTTATTCTGATGGAATCGTGAGCCTACTTTCTTTCAATTCCGGTTATCTCACCTGTTTTCCTCCAGTGGGAACCTCAACGAGGAGAAACTCTTACATGCAATACTAGAAGGGGAAAAGTTGATGCATGGGCAGCTACATAGTGTTCAGGATACCTATGAACATCAACTTTTTTATCTCCAGAAAGATGCCTATCATGTTGAGTCCACGGGTGCGGTCGTGAACATCGATTCAAGTGTTTCGTTACTCCACCAATACTGCTCGACACTTGGGTAACTCTTTTATATACCGTTTCATTCTTGCTTAAGTGTAGGATTTATAGGAATGACGCACATCCGAATTTTCTGTTCTACAAGGGTGAAGACGGGGGAACAACTTGTAACGTGACACTTCCTGATATCTGCACCGTCAAATACATCAAAGGCAAAAGATGTGCAACGGAGGAATTGGCAAGAAAGGCTGCATGCCTGGAAGCCTGTCGAAAGCTACACATGGCTGGGGCACTATCGGATAATTTGCGTCCAGTTCGGGCTGCTAATATCTCCAAAAGTGTCTCAATTACCTCAGGTGTGTTCAATCTCCTATCATTTTCTTAATGTAATCACGTTATATCACATTCAGATGACATGGATATGTACGAGACGATCATACCTGATATTTTACAAGGAAAGTTGGGTGTGTTTTCTGAAAATCTGACCTTCCACACCTACGTGCTTTCCTTTAGCTCCAGTGACGACAGCTTATCCTATCGTAATTTCGCACTGTTCTTGTCATCAAAGCTGGATGCCAGCGTCGAAGTTGAACGCTTCGAACTGAATCTGGGACGTGGAAGAAATGTTGTGGTTCAGCTAGGCTCCGTGCAAAATATCATCTTAGACAGTGACAAGGTAAGTTTTGTCGCTTTTGTGTATTATGTTTTGACTTATGCTCCGATTTTCAAGATTGCTGCCGTAAATCGGTTCTACGAAATAGTTTTTCCTATCCTATGGCAACGACGACTACCTCCAATCCATCTCCAGCAATACTTACTTCTGCCACTGCTTCCTGGCAAGATAGATGTAGACTGGAAATGCGTTCAGTCTCTCACACCTCCATCAATTGTCTCAGACAACGATGACAAAAGTGTTTTACATTTTGCAAACTATTCGCTTCGAGCTACAGATATCAAAGGAGGACTGATTCTTACAAAGCATACCAATGAACCAGTTTTTTATTCTCTTTTGGGTGTTCTTAAGGACACAACCGCGCAAAGCCCGTTTTCCAATCCCAAATATATTACTTATTCCGACTACTTCTTGAAAAGGTAAGATTTGTGAGTTCCTTCTTCGTTTCTGATTGTGAGGAGCGACTTACAGGCATAATATGAAACTGCAATATCCAGCCCAACCCCTTCTGAAAGTGAAGATGCTTGGCGATGTGCAAAACTATTTACTGCCACGTTCAACAGACATGCCTGGCACGTCGCATAGGAAATCGACTATTGAGCTGCCGCCCGAGCTTTGCATTCTCTTAGAACCAGAACTTGACTACTCCGTTGTGGCGTCCGTAATGGTGCTTCCTTCCGTTATCTACCGGCTAGAATGTCTAAGTTCTGCTGCACAGCTGACGAAACTCGTGGGCATTCACATGACTACAACCATGGTAAAATGCTGTTCGCGTTCATATTTTTATTGTTTTCATTTTTCTTTTTTCCCTGCAGATGTTGATGGCACTGACTTCTGCAAGCTGTAACGAAGGCTTTTCTCTCGAGAGACTCGAGTTTTTAGGCGATTCATTCCTCAAATTTGCACTGAGCTTGCACTTGGTGTCTGAATATCCGGAAGAACAAGAAGGCTTTCTTAGTCAAAGGCGTGAAGAGCAGATCTCTAACAGCAATTTGCACAGGCTTGGTGTACAAAGAGGATTGGTGGTAAGCATGCAATAACATGTTTCTAGTCTCTTCAACAGAACTTACAGACGTACATCAGAGACGGGCAGTTTGAGCCAAAGGATTGGATTGCACCGGTCCCTTGCTCTTCTTTGGCCAGTCACGAAAAGCTTTTAGGACGGAAGTTCTGTGACAAAGGGCATCGTTGTCTGCGAAGAAAATCGGTTGCAGATGTAATGGAGGCCATCATCGGTGCATACATTACTGACAACTCCGCTGATGCTGCCTATCACTTCATGACCTGGGCAGGATTTAAGCTGGTTGACAGGTGTTTAGTACCTGTGTTCTCATGCCAAGCTTCTGAAGTTGACGATATCTGCAATCTGGAAAAGATAATCGGCTATACCTTTCGAAACAAATGCTTCCTTGTTGAAGCGTTCACTCATGCTTCTTCCAGCGTTCGATCGTATCAGGTAAACAAGTAACTTTTGGAGCTGGACTAACACTGGTTAGTTGTCAGCGGCTGGAGTATTTAGGCGATGCTGTCCTCGATTACCTCATTGTTCTTCATCTTTATGCGAGCTATCCCAACTTGCAACCGGGACTTCTCAGTGATCTCAAGGTTGCTACAGTGAACAATGTTTGGTTCGCTTTCGTTGCTGTGCGCCACAACTTTCACAAGTATCTGCGTCACAAGCTTAAAGAGATTGACGAGTATCTTCTGAACAAAAATGTGCACTGTTTCGAGGATTGGCAGCTTGAGCAACCGCCAAAGGTCACTCTCTGAGCTTTAAAAGTTTGTCCTCCTCTTGACGCTTGTCTCTTTGTCTTTTGCAGTGTCTCAGTGATTTAGTGGAATCTCTCGCGGGAGCTTTGTTATTTGATACGGGTGGTAATCTGGAACTAGTGTGGAGCGTATTGGAGCCCCTTCTGCGCCCGATTGCCAGTCCCGAGAGCTTGGCACTTCACCCAGTCCGAGAGCTTCAGGAGCTATGCCAGCTGAAAGAAATTTCAGCTCCAAGCTACAACGTTGGAACTTGCTCGGTGACATTGGCAGACGGAGGCTTAGTCACAGGACAAGGCTCCGGAGGAGCAAACAAAAAGCTTCTCAAGAAGCAGTCTTCTGCCGATGCCTTGGGAAAACTGAAGGTAATAACAAGTTATGCTCCGAAAACGTTACAGTTTTTCGTTTATATTCAGGCTTTGGGATTTCAACACCCACGGCACGAACTCCTTCATGCTATTCGGGCCGAGACACACATAGAGGCCTCAAAGGTCATCATAAACAACGGTTTGAACTTCAGTGTCCCCGTCGTTACACAGTGCATGGAATCGGAGCTTGCATCCTTCGTACCACCAATGTCGAGCTCGAGTTCTTCTGCAGAATCAGATCTATCTCGGCAGGAAAGTCTTGCTCCAGACCATGACTTGCCTTCCGATTTAGAACTTGTCGACACTGAACACGAGTCAGATGTTCTAGCACCATCACTTGCGGAAGAGTTTGGTCTCGACGATGATCTCCTCGAGAAGCTTTGCAGTGCTACAGCTTCGTCTACTGTTCCTCCTAGACACGGTAAAAGCTATTTCATGTTTCTATCCTTACGATTTGTGTTTTCTTTCCAGAAGGTGGTGGCAGTGATTCTTTTGTTGTTGGAGCTCCACGAGCAGAGCTTCAAATTCTCTGCCAAAAGAGACGGTGGTCGGATCCCGAGTACATTATTTGCGAGGAGAGTGGTCCTCCTCACATGAAACAGTAAGAAAAGAAAAGAATGAAACTCCTAATCCTGCTGATTGTTGTTTTGTTTTTCCATCTTGTAGCTTTGCTTTGGCTGTGACAATCAGTCTTCCAATCGATGGACCCGTGACATTTTATGGAGAGCCCCAGCGAGACATGAAGCGGGCCAAAGACTCGGCAGCTAACGCCGCCATCGCTTATTTGAAAAAGCTCCTTTCATGATTTCTTGCGGCATCATCCAGTGGCTACAAGGTGAGACGAAAATACTTCTAGATGACTATATGGCTGATTTTTCTCTTCTTCTTTCTCCCTTCGAGTTGGATGTGGCCTCGTTTGATACAATCTAGTGATCACGTCCTCCGGTAAGCTAATCTTTCATCGCAATGAGTTTAATGAGTTACGTTCTTGCAAAGACGAAGGCGCCACTGCTGTTGCTACAAATCTTCTTCCCCTGCCTCCGGAGTTCTTTGATTTTCTTCTCGGGGCCGGCTCTAACGCTGCCTTACAAATCTTCTTCCCCTGCCTCCGGAGTTCTTGGATTTTCTTCTCGGGCACGGCTCAAACGCTGCGTTACTTCAGGTACTAGAACTCGGGATTCCTTTTCTTTGTTTAATTGGATTTCCAGAGTAAAGCCGCGGGGAGTTAGCGAAAGAACTTGGGATCAAAGTCGACCCTGTTTCTTGGCTATGTTTCCAGTGTTCTCACTGGCATCGTCCAGTGCCTACAAGTCTGGAAAGGTGAGAAAATATGAAAAATAAAATAAAAAAATCGAGAACTCTTGTTTGTTTCATTTTCGACAGATTTACGGTATGGATGCGGCCTCCGGGGCTGCTGTTGCAGCACCTGATATACAATCCGGTGATCACGTGCGCAGCTCCTGGTAAGCGAAGCTTTCATTGCAGTTTATGGGAGTTCTTTCAACTTGTATGCGGAGGTTTTGGTGTGGGGGCTGGAACACTAACAGGAGTTGATATTTCTTCTCGCCATCGCCTAGCAGCCTGTCGGACCATGCTCCAAAAGTATGAGTTCGGTAGCCGAGCGAGGCTTTTCCTTGCCGACGGGACGACGTTCTCCATCCTGCCAGCAAAAAAAGCACAGCAATCCAGTGTCCTTGAGAGACAACCACGTACGTATTCGCTCCTGTTCTTTCTTACAAGTGAAACTTTGTGCTTGCGTCTTCAGATCAGTCCTGTTCTTATCTCTTGAAGGACGGGTTAATCACTGACTGGAGACCGCCTAAAGCTGTCTCTGGGATTGTAGGAAGAGAATTGCGGAGTTTCCTTGCACCAGGCACGGCCGATGCTGCTCTTGTCGATGGGTACAGGTGAGTTCTTAAGCAGTTTCTTCTTGCAACGCATCCTTCCTGATGCGGGTTAAGCTACACACTTCTTTTGCTTCGTTTCTCTTGTGATTTGAGGGCTATATGTTGCAGTTGCAGAGGTGAGAGAGATCAAGTCTGCCATGTCCTGGCCATGCACAACGACCGGCTTGCTTGCGCGTTTCCAACACCAACGCCAGTTTGTCGCTAAAATCAACAAGGAACGAATGCCATACGAGCAAATCTTTATAATCAGAATCTCGCAGTTCTCTACCTTCGCGAGACTCCCAAGGTTCTATCGTTCTAGCTTTCGCATTGTCACCATTGGATGTACTGTGCAGTGCCCCTCGTAAAACTCCTATGTCCAAAATGGACACTAAAGCCCGAGCACTTCGTGGAAGGAACACTCTTCAAGAAAGAAGAAAATTACCCGTATGGTTGTAAGATCCGCTGCTAATACTAAGGTCAGCTTTGATAATTGTCGTTTCACAATGTCAGGGTGGTGTCGTGTGTTCTCGTCGTCTGCATTTTCACGAGCTTTCTAGACACCTTACAGCGCTCTACATTCCCAAACATAGGCGGGACAATTTTTAAGAACCTTGATCGTCCTCGACACATACGAACCCACTATCTGATTCGGCAATCTCGAGCCCATTGTGATCACTGCTGAGGGACTAACCATCAAAGCAAGTACCTGTGACGAGTTGAAGATGGCGAGCTTATCTCTTCGATAGATGCTCTCTCATGAATTTAATAAGGAAAAGATGAAAATGGTACCATGGGTGTTTCATACGCAGCTTCGATCTGTCAGAATCTACGACATTGGGGTCCTAGGGTTTCACTGTTTTGTCCAGCTTCAATCGGCTCAGATCAATCGACTCAAGCTCCAAACGTAGCCGAATCTGCGCAGGTAACGAAGATCGATTTTCTATCATTAATGTAGCAGGAAAATCTTAGCTATCAAACATTTCTATTAGAGAAAATTGCGTGCCTGGAAGCTTGTCGAAAGCTACACACTACTGGGCTTCTATCAGATAAATTGCATCCAGTTCCTGCTACTAGGATCTCCAAAACTGCCTCAATGACTTCAGGTGTGTCGAATCCACTAACGTTTTCTTGAAGTAATCACGTTACATCAGATTCAGATGACATGAATATGTACGAGACGATTATACCTGATGTTTTCCAAGGACAGTTGGGTGTGGTTTCTGAAAATCTGACCTTCCACACCTACGTACTTTCCTTTAGCTCCAGTGACGACAGGTTCTCCTATCGTAACTTTGCGCTGTTCTTGTCATCAAAGTTGGATGCCTCCCTCGAAAATGGAAGCTTCGAACTGGATTTGGGACGTGGAAGAAATGTTGTGGTTCGGCTTGGCTCGATGCAAAATATCAGCTTAGACGGTGATAAGGTAAGGATTTTGTCGCTTTTGTGGATAATGTTTTGACTTATGCTCTGCTTTTCAAGGTTGCTGCCATAAATCAGTTCTACGAAAATGTTTTCGCTACTTTATGGCGACGACGGCCACATCTCCAGCCATACTTCCTTCTGCCGCTGCTTCCTGGCAAGATAAATGTTTTGGATGTGGACTGGAAATGCGTTCAGTCTCTCACACCTCCATCAATAGTCTCAGACAGCGATGACCAAAGTGTTCTACATTTTGCAAATTATTCATTGCGAGCTACAGATGTCAAAGGAGGACTGATTCTTACAAAGCATACCAGCGAAACAGTTTTTCATTCTCTTTTGGGTGTTCTTAAAGAAACAACCGCGCAAAGCCCGTTTTCCAATCCCAAATATAGTACTTATTCAGACTACTTCCTGAAAAGGTAAGATTTGTGAGTTCCTTCTTCGTTTCTGATTGGAACACGCGACTTACAGGCATAATATGAAACTGCAATATCCAGCCCAACCCCTTCTGAAAGTGAAGATGCTTGGCGATGTGCAAAACTATTTACTGCCACGTTCAACAGACATGTCTGGCACGTCGCATAGCAAATCGACTATTGAGCTGCCGCCCGAGCTTTGCATTCTCTTAGAACCAGAACTTGACTACTCCGTTGTGGCGTCCGTAATGGTGCTTCCTTCCGTTATCTACCGGCTAGAATGTCTAAGTTCTGCTGCACAGCTGACGAAACTCGTGGGCATCCACATCTCTACAACCATGGTCAAATGCTGTTCATCTAAAATGTTCATCTTTATATTGTTTCATTTTTCTTTTTTTTCCTGCAGATGTTGATGGCACTGACTTCTGCAAGCTGTAATGAAGGCTTTTCTCTCGAGAGACTCGAGTTTTTAGGCGATTCATTCCTCAAATTTGCACTGAGCTTGCACTTGGTCTCTGAATATCCGGAACAACAAGAAGGCTTTCTTAGTCAAAGGCGTGAAGAGCAGATCTCTAACAGCAATTTGCACAGGCTTGGTGTACAAACAGGATTGGTGGTAAGCATGCAATAATATGTTTCTAGTCTCTTGAACAGAACTTACAGACGTACATCAGAGACGGGCAGTTTGAGCCAAAGGATTGGATTGCACCGGTCCCTTGCTCTTCTTTGGCCAGTCACGAAAAGATTTTAGGACGGAAGTTATGTGACAAAGGTCATCGTTGGCTGCGAAGAAAATCGGTGGCAGATGTAATGGAGGCCATCATCGGTGCATACATTACTGACAACTCCGCTGATGCTGCCTATCACTTCATGAACTGGGCAGGATTTAAGCTGGTTGACAGGTGTTTAGTACCTGTGTTCTCATGCCAAGCTTCTGAAGTTGACGATATCTGCAATCTGGAAAAGATAATCGGCTATACCTTTCGGAACAAATGCTTCCTCGTTGAAGCGTTCACTCATGCTTCTTCCAGCGTTCGATCGTATCAGGTAGACGAGTAACTTTTGGAGCTGGACTAACACTGCTTAGTTGTCAGCGGCTGGAGTATTTAGGCGATGCTGTCCTGGATTACCTTATCGTTCTTCATCTTTATGCGAGCTATCCCAGCTTGCAACCGGGACTTCTCAATGATCTCAAGGTTGCTACAGTGAACAACGTTTGGTTCGCTTTCGTTGCTGTGCGCCACAACTTTCACAAGTATCTGCGTCACAAGCTTAAAGAGATTGACAAGTATCTTCTGAACAAAAATGTGCAATGTTTCGAGGACTGGCAGCTTGAGCAACCGCCAAAGGTCAGTCTTGAGCTTTTAAAGTTTGTACTCCTCTTGACGCTTGCGTCTTTTTCTTTTGCAGTGTCTCAGTGATTTAGTGGAATCTCTCGCGGGAGCTTTGTTATTTGATACGGGTGGTAATCTGGAACAAGTGTGGAGCATATTGGAGCCCCTTCTTCGCCCGATTGCCAGTCCCGAGAGCTTGGCACTTCACCCAGTCCAAGAGCTTTCAGCTCCAAGCTACAACGTTGGAACTTGCTCGGTGACATTGGCCGACGGAGGCTTAGTCACAGGACAAGGCTCCGGAGGAGCAAACAAAAAGCTTCTCAAGAAGCAGTCTTCTGCCGATGCCTTGGAAAAACTGAAGGTAATAACAAGTTATGCTCCGAAAACGTTACAGTTTTTCTTTTATATTCAGGCTTTGGGATTTCAACACCCACGGCACGAACTCCTTCATGCTATTCGGGTCGAGACACACATAGAGGCCTCAAAGGTCATCATAAACAACGGTTTGAGGTTCAGTGTTCCCATCGTTACACAGTGCATGGAGTCGGAGCTTGCATCCTTCGTACCACCAATGTCGAGCTCGAGTTCTTCTGCAGAATGAGAGCTATCTCGGCAGGAAAGTCTTGCTGACTTGCCTTCCGATTTAGAACTTGTCGACACTAAAGACGAGTCAGATGTTCTAGCAGCATCACTTGCGAAAGAGTTTGGTCTCGACGATGCAACCAGTAGGCAGAGAATTTGAAGCTCTTCTCGTGGAGCTCCAACAACAAAAGAATCATCGCCACCTTCTGGAAAGCCAGCAAGTACTGCAAATTCATGTGCTTGGTGCTGTGAATTCCAGGTAAAGAATGCTCCATAAGAAATCAAGCTAGAGTCTTTGGAAACAGGGACCAGATATCAAGGTGGGCAATATGTAGATGTGTCCCAGCTTGGAGAATGCTTTCGAGGAGCTATTGAAGGAACAAGGGTGATAGTTCTGTTTCGTTGTATGATATAATTTGTTCAAGAAATGCTACAACGTTTTAAGCATAATTGGAAGGGAAGCCAACACACAGTGAAGCAAGGTATGCAACCAAATTATGGATGTGAAGAAAACACAAGAAAGCAAAGTTTTTACCGCGTCTAGCAGGAGGAACAGTAGACGAAGGTGTAGCACTGCAAAGTTGATCGGCTGGTGGTAACACTGATATGTTGGCAAACTCAGAAAGCACGGTGGATTGCTTAAGACGGTGGTCGGATCCCGAGTACATTATTTGCGAGGAGAGTGGTCCTCCTCACATGAAACAGTAAGAAAAGAAGAGAGTGAAGACTCTACTGATCGATGCTGTGACAATCAGTCTTTCAATCGATGGACCCGTGAGATTTTATGTAGAGCCCCAGCGAGACGTGAAGCGAGCCAAAGACTCGGCAGCGAACTCCGCCATCGCTTATTTGAAGAAGCTCCTCTTGTGGCGACGTCGATAAGCAAAGGTAAGCTTTTTATTTTTCCTTAATGACCAATGGCGTGCGAAGACGCTGCTCTAAAACTCTCTTCTTTTGTTGGATCGAGTAAAGCCGTGCGCTTCCAATGGAAGTACTTGGGATCCAAGTCGGGCTTGTTGTCAGTGTGCTTCTCAAGCGTCACTGGAAGGTGAGAAGAAAATACTTCTAGAGGACTATAGAGTTACGTGTGGCTTGATACTAACTTTCATTTTCATCCATTGACACAATAGTTTGATCTTGGTTTTAGGGTTTTTCGTGAGCAATGGCGTGCATTGAGGTAGCGCCAGCCGCGGCGCGCGATCCATTCTCTTGCAAACACGATGGCGCCGCTGCTGTTTCTACAAATCTTCTTCCCCTGCCTCCGGAATTCGTCGATTTTCTTCTCGGGCAGAATGTGGATCCTCGCGTCTACCTCGCGGCTCAAACACTGCCGCGTTACTTCAGGTACTAGAACTCGGGTTTCCTTTTCTTTGTTTGATTGGATTGCCAGAGTAAAGCCGAGTGCCACCAATGCTGCTGGGGAGTTAGCGAAAGAACTTGGGATCAAAGTCGAACCTGTTTCTTGGCTACCCGGATTTTTCCAGTGTTCTTCACAAGCGTCACTGGCATCATCCAGTGCCTACAAGTCTGGAAAGGTGAGAAATAAAAACGAAACTTTCGAGAACTCCCTGGCTGATCTGTTTCTTCTTTGTTTGTGTTGTATGTCCTTCTGGACAGATTTACGGTATGGATGCGGCCTCCGGGGCTGCTGTTGCAGCACTTGATATACAATCCGGTGATCACGTCCTCGACGTCTGCGCAGCTCCTGGTAAGCGAAGCTTTCATTGCAATTCACGAGTGTTTCACGTTTGTTTTCAACGTGTAGGAGCGAAACTATGCATGATGGCGGAGGTTTTGGGTGTGGGGGCTGGAACACTAACCGGAGTTGATATTTCTCGCCATCGCCTAGCAGCTTGTCGGACCATGCTCCAAAAGTATGAGCTCGGTAGCCGAGCGAGACTGTTCCTTGCCGACGGGACGACGTTCTCCATCCTCCCAGTAAAAGAAGCACCGCAATCCAACGCAAGCGTCCTTGAGAGACAATCACGTAAGTATGAGCTCCTGTTATTCCTTTTCGGTGAAACTTGTTGCTTGCATCTTCAGACCAGTCCTGTTCTTATCTTTTGAAGGACGGGTTGCTCGCTGATTGGAGACCACCTAAATCGAAAAGGGGGAAGCGAGATGACCAGCGAGCTGTCTCTAAAGGACAGGCGAATGGTCCCGAGCTCTTTTACTACGGCTGTGAGTCTGGGATTGTAGGAAGAGAAATGCGGAGTGTCCTTGCACAGGGCACGGCTGATGCCGCTCTAGTCGATGGCTACGACAAGGTATGCAAAAGGCTCGCTTTTCCGCTGTTTACGAATGCTTGGTATTTGTTTTTTTCCACAGGTGCTCGTGGATGCCGAGTGTACTCACGATGGCTCGCTGAAGCACATCTGCAAGTTTGAGCAGTGGGGATGGGAAACCTTCGAGAAGCGGTTTTTCAACTCGGAACGCATTTCTACAATCACTAATCTTCAGGTATGGAGTCATCTAGTTTTGGTGTTGCTGGTCCTTGACATCTTGGAACTGTAGCTCCGGCTCTTGAGCAACGGATTCAGACTGTTGAAGCAGGGCGGGACACTCGTTTACAGCACTTGCAGGTTTGCTTTTTCAGTTCCTTTCCTTCACGGATCGTAAAGCTTTTGATCGTCAGTTTCACTTATGATCAAAACGAGGGAGTGCTTAAGCAGTTTCTTGCAGCACATCCTGATGCGGGTAAGCACACTTCTTTGCTTCCTTTCTCTTGTGATTTGACACTGGGTTATATGTTGCAGAGGTGAGAGAGATCAAGTCTGCCAAGTCCTGGCCATGCACAATGACCGGCTTGTGCTTGCGCTTTGATCCGCTCGTTTCCAACACCAACGGCCAGTTTGTCGCTAAAATCACCAAGGAACGAATGTCATACGAGCAAATCTTATAATCAGAACCTCGCAACTCTCCAACTTCACGAGACTCCCAAGGTTCTATCGTTCAGGCTTTGGTTTTTAGCGCAATTCTCACCATTGGATGTTTGTAGCGTCGGGACTCTTCTAAGAAAAAGGTTGATGTTTGATTGGAAGAATAGTTTTATCCATTGCTAATACAAAGTCAGCTTTCATATAATTGTGTGTGGAAGTCACGGTTTCACAATGTCAGGGTGGTGTGTTCTCGTCGTTTGCATTTCCACAAGCTTTTCTGGTCGATTTGGGAGTAGGAGACACCTTACAGCTCTCTGCAATACAAGACACAAAGCAATGAATCCGAAACTTAGTGTGACAAGTTTAAGCACCTTGATCGTCCTCCACGCATATGATCTCCGCCACGAATCCACTATCTGATTCGGCCATCTCGAGCCCGTTGTGATCACTGCTGAAAGAAATGTGTAAGCCCGGAGAGACAAAACCATCAAAAAAGCTCGACGCAAGTACCTGTCACGAGTTGAAGATGGCGAGCTTATCTCTTGGATCATGTCCTCGGCCATCATCGAGTTCATAAGCTCCGAGAAGGACGTTCCATCCAGGGAAGTTCCCAATATGTCGTCAATGGAGGACAGCGGCTCCGTCGTGAAGAAATCTTCACAAAGAATGTCCACAGGTAGGCCGGATGCTCTCTCCAGTGCTTTCTCCTTCTCGTTGGCACCAGTTTTGGTATCGCCAGCTGCGTGGCGGAGAGGCTCGCTGGAGGTGGTGAAGTCTAGAGACTTGCAGTTCCTTGTCGTTGGCTTCACTTGTTGTCTCTTGCTGCGTGCTTTCGATGGCTCACAGCTTGTAGGCCGAGCTGTTGATGGTGTTAGAAACTCCGAGGGTGCTACTTGAAAGCTCCCGGAGCCTATTGGCAGCCCAAACTGCTGTGGAGTCTGTGGATCGATCGGAGCTGGCCTGGAAGGAGTGAATGGAGCAGGCTTGGCATCTCTGGTCGGAAGCACTGCATGCGAAGTTTCAACACGAGAAACAAAAGGAGTGTTTCGTTACCAGGACAGTGACGAATTCTCTTGGTCCCTATCGCGGTGTTTGTGATGTCAAGCATGGGCGCTTCCTGTCCTCGAGGAGAAGTTTTCCTTTTTGGAACGGAATTTACATGGGTGATTGGTGCAGCAGGCGTAGATGGTGGTGGCCCTGGATGGATGAAGAAGAGATCGTTAGCAGCAAAGAAGAAGAAGAAGAAGAGGATGAAAACTTTACCTGGAGCCAAGGAAGTAAGAGCCCTGGATTTCTCATACGAAGCCACCATCTCCTTAACGCTGGCTACAAAACTCTCGAGCTTCAATCTCTCCGACTGGACGGACAGAGCTTGCTCTTTGAGCGCAATGTAGTCGTTTAGAATGTCACTCAGGCTCATCATTTTCATGGGCGCCTCCTGATAGAACAAAATGCCGGTGAAAATCGAGAAGAAAATCCCCAGATCCGCAAGAGCAAGGAAACCCACCGTTTTGCACGGCGCAAGCACCGACGCTGCCTCGGTCCGGAACTCGCGAAGCGTCTTCGCGTAGCTCCGATCTTTGAGGTAGCAGTCGACGAGAAATGCGATTTGTACCTCCGTGACGCCTCCTGTGCCGAGTCTGGGATCGCATCCCGCGCTCTTCCGCCGCGGCTTCGTCATCGCTAGCGCCGGACGCGAGCGGGAGCTGAAGGATCTAGCCCTAGAGCGCAATGGCGCTTGGTAGAACCAAGCGCGCGCGAGAGGACTGAGAGACCCTAGCTTCTCGTGGAAGCGCCCTATTCCATCAATGCTTTCAAACTTACCAATGGGAATTTGGCGCGCAATGCCAGCACAGGGGATTTTAGGGTTTATGGCGATTTAGGGTTAGTCAGTTCTAGCGGAGGAGAAATGGCGACGACGCTGGTGTCGGCGGCGTCGGCAGCGGCGTCGGCGCTGCCACTTGCGTCTCGAAATGTGGCGGCGCCGTCCACTTCGATGCCGTCGCTGGTGTGGGTGTGCGCTCCAGGTGAGTGATTCTCGAGAAATCTATCCGTCGGGTCTCAGCTCTTCGGAATTTCTCACAGGAAGAGGCTTGTTTTGTCCCTGCTCGAGATGGAAATCCGGGTAAGCCAGCTTGGTGCCCCCAATCTCTCGAATTTCTGGAGCTTAGCTCTCTTTCTTGTTCTCCAGGCCGCCTCGGGCTTCCAGATCACGGTGTGAAATTCGGTCTATGGCACCCGACGAAGAGAAAATGACAAAGAGGTCGCCTCTAGATTTCCCAATTGTAAGTCAGGATTCTCTGGCGAGTTCTCGTTCTAGCGGAGATTTCTCACTGGATTGCTCGACAGGAATGGGATCGACCAGCTCCTGGCCGGAGACCCGATATCTTCCCGCAATTCAGTCCCATGAAAGCTCCATTGCCACCGCCGCTACCTTGCGATCCTCCGGAGGAAGACGAGGACGAGGAAGAAGAGAAAGAGGAGGAGGAAGAAGAAGAGAAGAAGGAGAAGCCCGAGAAAGAGCCCGAGAAACCAAAGGAATAGAAGAGAGAATACTATAAATTAGGGTTCCAAAGGATTAGAAGAGAGAATACTATAAATTAGGGTTCTTGAGGTTTTGGTTAGGGCTTTGGCTATGGCGGACGATACTGCCGTCCAAGACGCTAGCGTTGGCCAGGGCGATCGCGACGACGACAAGAGTGGAGTGATCATCGTTCTCGAGCGCGCGTCGCTGGAGACCGCCAAGGTCGGCAAGGTATGGAGGGGATAATTTCGGCCGCATTGTCGAGTGGAAGTGCTTGATTTCTCTCTCATTCTCGGCGCAGACTTATCAGCTGCTCAATTGCGACGATCACGCGAATTTTCTGAGGAAGCACAAGCGCGATCCAGCGTTGTATCGTCCGGATATCTTGCATCAGGTAGCACGACCTTGGGGATTTTTGTGAGAGTTTCACTTGTTTTTTGGTTCTGGAACAGGCCCTTCTAGCGATCCTCGACAGTCCACTCAACAAAGCTGGGCGATTGAAAGCTCTCTATGTCAAGACTGAGAACAATGTTCTCATCCAAGTAAATCCTCACATTCGTCTCCCTCGAACGTTTAAACGCTTTTGTGGACTCATGGGTAAAGTTCTATCTTTCATCCAAAGCTTAGCTTTGTTTTACTGGTTTTTCGCGTTTTCCAGCACAGTTGCTTCAAAAGCTAAGTATTCGTGCTACGAATGGGCCTGATAAACTCCTGCGAGTTGTAAAACAGCCAGTCACTCGACACCTCCCGGCTGGAGTTCGTCGAATCGGTACGCGGACGTGAAAAACTTTTGAGACGTGATACAAATTCTCTTCCGTTGCAGGACTATCTTACAGAGCACCGAAAGTCGTGCAACTAAGAGACTACGTCGCAGCCTCTGGACCCGAAGAAACTCTAGTTTTTGTAGTGGGAGCCATGGCTCATGGAAAAATCGAGGCCGATTACATTGACGATCTAGTCGCAGGTAAAGAGCTTAAAAAATCTTTCTTTTCCTTTCATTACAAGCATGAAACTTTGCAGTGTCAGAGTATCCTTTGAGTGCAGCGTGCTGCATAGGACGGATTTGCAATGCTTTAGAACAACACTGGCAGATTATATGAAAATCAGACCCTTTGCTCGCGAAGAAAAATCCCACACGAAGACTCCCATCACTGCTTGGTTAGATCCAATGAAAGCAGCGGCAACGCCATTATACTACACAAGAGAGCTAACAGAATTGCCCCGAGCCAACCTGGGAACATGAAATGCCTGTTGTGATCCTTGTTGCGTCGATTCTCTGCCACTGTGTTTTCCGGCTCGCCGGGCTTGTTGACGGGCTGTTGCTCTGATTTTTGCTCGCAAAGCGTCTGCATCTCGGCCTGTTTTTGGATGTACTCTGGAAACATTTTTCTGAACGTCACACTGCGGAAAAGTAAAAAGAAGTTGATATGCAGAATCTCGACTTTTTCAAAACAAGAACTTTCTTACTTTTGACAATTGAAAGCAAGCGATGATCGAGCGAGGCGCCGTTTCTCCTCGTCGCTTGTGGTTAAACTTCCAGTCGTGGGAGAATTATCCATCTAAAAGGAAGAAAAAATCGAGTGATTGTGAGAGAAAACGCCATCGTATTACCATGAAGGACAGCAATCCCGTAAGAATACTGCGACAAAAGGCCACAAATAAATGACAAGTTTTCGTGACAATCTAGGACAGTACCTTGAAACTGACCACATTGGATTCCAAGTCTCTGGATGAACTGCGAGAAGAACACACAATGAGAGGAGAAATAAGCGATTGATGCTTACAGTCACTCATGGACATGCACAGCCTCTTCTGGGTTGCAAAGCGACCATTTGGAGTGATCATACTGCAGGAAAAGAGGTCACAGTGTAGAAGAAAAAAAACAAAGAGAAAACTTTACCTTATTCCAGGCGGCTTGTAAGGATACTCTGGAGGAAATTTAAGCTTGCCATGGTAGAAACCCCCTGCATTCGTTCGCACAAAGCTTGAGAATCAAAAGCCCCGAAAGTGTGAGAGGCTTATTCTATTTGCTTACCTTCGAATGGAGTCCCTTGACTACCCTCGAGCACATAATCTGCCAGGAAAGAAAACTTTGGCAGCTGAATCAAACGAAGAACAAAGCGATCCAGCAACGATTATAGAGGAGGAAATACTCACGCCATTCCAGAATGTCGCTCGGCGACGGCTTGGCGACGACATGCGGCACTGGTTCCTGATCAATCGCGGCACACCATTGCTAACAATGAGATCATCCCGGAGAGCTGGATTCTTACCTTGCACAGCGCCTTGAATTCGCGCTGTAGGCGCTTCACACAAGCTCTCTCGGCCATTTTACCCACGAACCCTAAGTTCTCCGCCACGTCGGCAAAACTTATGTTAAAATATTCTATCTGCGTTATGGTAACAGAATATGCTTGACAGGCTGGACGTCCGTCTGGAGGTATAGGGTTTATAGAGAATGAGGCCGCCAAGGGGGGGAGGAAGAGATGGGGGCTTCCGCGGCGGGGGCCGGCGAGGCGGCGGTGGATTTCGTGGAGGGTTTCGTGGTGGCGCGCGAGGATTTCGAGACGAGGGTCCTCCGGAAGAGGTTGTGGGTGAGTTTTTCGTGTTTTTCTCCGAGATTGATTGAATCGCGACAATGCCGCAGCGATCTCGACGTTCTCGCACGCTTGCGAGGGCGAGGCGGTGGTGAAGCTCGTCGCGGATGCGAAGATCCCGAAATTCAATGCCGCCATTTTCCTGGAGAACAAGGCGCAGATTGGAAGGGTGGAAGAAATATTTGGCCCCATCAATGAGCCCGTAAGTTCTTCGCGCATTTCATTCTGGTCGATCCAAGCATTGGTTTTCTTCCTTTGATCTTTCCAGTTTTTCTCGATTAAGATGCAAGACGGCATCGTCGCTACTTCCTATCATCCTGGCGATAAGTTCTACATCGATCCGAGGCAGACGCTAGAACTCACACGATTCACGCAGTAAGTTCTTCGCATTCTTCGATCAAATCCATTTTTTCCCCCTTTGATCTCCCCCCGCCTTCCATTTTCATCCATTTCCTTCTTTCGACTTACCGATTTTTTCTTTAGACCACAAGCTGGTGGTGGCGGCTTTGGTCGCGGCGGAGGTAGAGGCGGCGGTGGAAGAGGTAAATATTAACTATGATTGTAAAATCTCTTCTACATTGACAATTTTTTACCAAGGCCGCGGGCGTGGAGGAGGATTCCGTGGCGGAAGAAATGGCGGCGGCGGCGGATTCCGTGGCGGAAGAAGCAGCGGTGGTGGTGGATTCCGGGGACGTGCCAGAGGTCGTGGAAGATTCTAACCACAAGCTCTCTTTAGATACTCCTTTGTGAAATTTTCTCTCTTTGCTAACACGAGAGCTTCTCGAGATGGTTTTTAGGAGGGAGGTTTTAGGTCGAAATATTTTGGATGAGCAGTGACGCGGGATCCTCGATCGACGCGGCGGTGAGCCGCAAATGCGGCGCCAAAATCCAGGCGCTGGAGCGCTGCAATGCGCGGTATCGATCGGAGCCGGAGCGCAGCCTGGTGTGCGGCCATCTCAACAAGCTCGCGGCGATGTGCCTGGTGGAGATCGTTTGCCCCGAGCAGGTTGAGGCCGTCAAGATCTACTGCACGGGCGCTGGAACAGCGCGGGTGAGGAACTCGTGCCGGATCGCCAAGGAAAATCTCACCATTTGCTTGGATTATCGGCAAGACGACACTAGCAGCGGCAACGGGATCAATTAATTCCTTTTCCAGGCAGAGAATATCTTCTTCGTCCTTCCACTTTAACCGTGGCACTGGCTCTGCCTAGGGTTTCCATTCTTTCTCTCGATCTCTCTCTCTCGGCCACTGCAGCTTGCTGCGAGTCACCAAGATAGCAATGGATTATGCGCTTCTTGGATCGGCATTCTAGGATTTCTCTAAGGAGGCTTGGCGGCTGGGGATTTCGATCTCGCATCGGCCAAGTACCAGCAGCGAGCAGGAGCTTCGTGGTGACAATGTCGGACAGGTTCTTCTTGAATAATCTCGCGGATTACTCCGAGAAGGAGGAGGCAAATGTCCAAGAAATCCTCGAGAGCGGCAAGGAGATTCCAAGGACTGCCGAAGGCTACAGCGTCAATCTCGCCGCGCCGTTCCGGCATCCACATCTAGCTTCGCCGGAGAAGCTTCTCAAATCCGCCCTGGCCTTGAAGGACGAGGTTAGTACGTTCGTTCTCTTCTCACTCTTTTTCCTTTTTTGTTTGCTCAAGAACTTTGGCTATGTGTGTTGCTCTAGATCGTCCAAGTAACTTGGGGACGTGGTGGCACACGAGTGAAAGATCCAATTTTCTACACTGGCGTCTTGGGGACTGCATACTTGTGCCTGAAATCCTTCGAGGTGACCCAGAAGAAAGAAGATCTCGCGCTGTGCTCGGAGATCATCGATCACTGTGCTGCGGCAGCGCAGTCTATGAAACAGTAAGCGTTCTTGTAGTATATGGTTATCCATTTTTTATGTTTTATCTTGGATGATACAGGTACGTCACATTCATTTGTGGCCAGCCAGGGATTTATGCTCTTGGAATGGTGGCTGCCAAGAGCAGAGGTGACCAACAAAGAGTCGACTTTTATCTTAACTTGTTTGAAGAGGTTTGTTTTGCTGTGTTCTTATTCTTTTCTTGATTGTTTTGTAATCTAACTCGGCATAGCAGGTTGCTAAACAAAAGGCCCTCTCTGCGGGTCCTTCAGATGGAGGTCTTGGCATGCCATATGAACTTCTATATGGGAGGGCAGGATTTCTGTGGGCGTCTTTATTCGTAAACATGCACATTGGGAATGAAACCATTCCTTGGACAACTACGGTATAACTGTTTGAAGTGGTGACGTTGCTTGATCGTTTCCTTTCTTCGGTGCAGGGGCCTATTGTTGATGCTATTTTAGCTGCTGGCCGAGCAGGGGCATCTCAAAGCTCTTGTCCTCTCATGTATCAATGGCATGGTACAAGATATTGGGGCGCTGCTCACGGTCTGGCAGGGATAATGTACGTCCTGATGCATTTCGCTTTGTCAGCAAGGGATGCTGCAGATGTGAAAGAAACGCTGCTCTACATGATAGCCAACAGGTTTCAGTCTGGAAACTATCCATCCAGTGACGGCAATCAACGGGACAAGCTGATCCACTGGTGTCATGGTGCACCTGGAATCTGCCTCACGCTGTGCAAAGCTGCCAAGGTTTGTCACTACGGCATTTCTGCGAAATAACGCGAAAGTTTCAGGTGTTTCCTGAGCCTGTATTTCGGGAAGCCGCTGTTGCTGCTGGAGAGCTCATCTGGAAGAAGGGCCTTTTACGACGAGTTGGACTCTGCCATGGGGTCAGTGGCAACACATATCCATTTCTGGCTCTTTACCGGCTTACTGGGGATAGGAAGCATCTTTTCCGTGCTCGGTCATTCGCCACCTTCTTGTGCAACCAAGGCAGAGAGCTTATTGACTCGGGGGACATGCACGGTGGGGATCACCCATACTCCTTGTTTGAAGGACTTGCGGGAACGGCCTTTCTTTGGCTCGACTTGCAGCGTCCTGAGGAAGCGAGATTTCCTGGTTACGAGCTGTAGTGGAAGGAACAGGTTGTATGTAACATAGTAGGCAGCAGTTTGTTTATTTATGTCAACGATAACGTGGTGGTGACGAGTCGACTTATATCTAGTAGCGGCACTCGGAATCGGGCCTCTGGCTTCCACTACAGAAGGAAAGACTGGCTGGACATTTCTTGAGGCAGTTGTATGTGAAGCTGGCGCTGATGAGATTTGGGAGGGGCTTTAGAAACAGGCTGGGTACCTCGCCTTGGAGATAGTTTCCATCCAAGAACAGTCTGGCCAGCGGTAGAGCAGTGGAACCGTCGGCTGCAACTTTCTTCGCGTACTCGTCTGGGATTCTACTGGTGAAGTGGTTGCTGCTTAAGGAGAGGGATGAAAGCCTGTTAAGCCTCGACAATGCAACCGGCAAGCTGCCTCGGATGTTGTTATGACTCGCGTCAAAAGCAACGAGCTGGCTGTTGCTAAAATCCAGGTGATCGGTTGAGCTGATTGAAGTGAGCTGGTTGTGGGAAAGGTTTAGCTGCTGGAGGCTCGGTAGCAAGAATATCGTGGAAGGGAGAGGTCCCCTTACTTTGTTGCTGCTCAAGTCCAGCACCTCGAGATCCTGAAACCTTGTAACGTCGGGGCTGTCAAGCGTCAGAGAGGCTGCGTTACTTCGCAGTGAAAGCTGGTATAGAGACTTCGGCAGCTTGGAGAAGAGCAGACTATCCGCGAAGCCATTATGGCTGGCGTCGAAGTATCTCAGGTTGACGGTATTGGAGAGTGACGTCGGAAGCGCACCAGCGAATTGATTGTTTTGGAGGTAAAGCCTTTGCAAATCTTTCATAGAAGAAAACAAACTTACTGGAAGAGTTCCACTAAGCTTGTTGTTTGCCACCGACAGGTACTCAAGCTTGTTGAGCTGAGCCATGGATTGTGGGAGAGCCCCGGACAGCTTGTTTCCTGACAAGTCCAACTTCTGCAAATTCCTGAGCCTCGCAATTTCCGAAGGGATGGATCCCGTGAAAGAATTCTGCGAGATGTCCAGCACCACCAGAGACTCGAGGTTGCCAAGTGACCGAGGAATTGCACCAGAGTAGCCAGACGCATCCAGCTCAAGCCGTGCGATTCTCTTGCTCCGAGGATTGGCCGCGTCACAGCTGAAGCCGCAGACGAATTTCTCCGACGCGTACGAGTCACAGGGATCACGCGAGAAGTCCCACGAAGCAACGCAGCTGGACTGCGGTAGAAACGCTGCCACCGCTGCCTTGATGTTCTTGAGCACCGTGACATCGCCCGGATGAGTCTCTGCCACTGAGAGATGAACGATACCGAGCAGCAGCAGCAGCAGCAGCAGCACTGGAAGGCAAGAGATTTTCATACTCATTCCTTTTCGTAGGATCACTTTTCCTGACGCCTCCCTCTTCCAACAGGCTGCTCAACTCGATCAAACGAAGAAACAAAGCGATCCCACACTCTTTTCGCTGGCTAGGATGGTGAATCAAATTGGGGGTGGTGAAAGAAGAGGAGACAATTGAATCTCGAGGCAGCTCAGGTATCACAGGAGATCAGACTGGAAGAACTCTGGCGATGGCAGTCCAAGGCTTTTTCTTCCATGCAATCAAGACGAGCTAGATGGAGGAAAGGGCTATAGATAGGCAAGGGCTACAGGAAGCTACAGGCTGGTGCTCGATGAGCTTGAAGCCAAGATGGATGACACGATTTGGACCGTTGCAAATGCGGGGCGGGCAGGGGCCCGAAGTTAAAAGTTCCAGGCACCGAAGGGATGTGTTATTTTTTTGTTGCCACTCACGACGCTGGTGCAACAACCGTGATGGCAACCGGTGTTTTTCTGAGGTAGTGCGAGGCATCTGTCAGCTCTGGTTGGATGGGCTCGGCTCTCGTCAAAGGCAAGACAAATCAAAAGCAAAACAACAAGGGGAGACGAGGAAGAACAGCTTCTTGGAAGTGAGCGATTCATATGGTTGGTGTGGGCGGAATCACGTTCGTTAGGCCGAGCGAGCCACGCGAAAGGGACGTTGTAACTCACGGTCAGGTTGGGGCCGGACATGATCACTGATTGAAACGAAGAGTTCCTTTTAAGAACAAACGAGCACAAAGCAGAATGTGAGCCACTTTTCTATGTTAGAAAAGTAAGCTCTACTTTACTTTATTACCTTATATAATTGATGTGCATTTTAGAATAAGTAAAATATTAAAAATGCATTATTTTTTTCTTAGTTTATTTATATTAACAAGTTACACTATCACAAGCTCTTCTCCTGCTATTACAAATTTGTTATGACAATGGGAGATTTATGAGATATCCACAAAGTGAATATTTCATTATTACTTCAAGAATACTTAATCAATGGTGAATGAAAGTATATTTATGTACAAACAGGAAGAAAGCATTCAAATTTATCAATAGAATTTGTTGAGTTTTTAGACAAGTCAATATTTGTATCTATAAAAATAAAAAACACTGAGCTTCTTGAAATCAAACAAACATCTTCACCAATATGTGAATTTATATCAAAATACTTAATCAAATATTACTTTTGTATTAATAATTTTTTAAATTGTAAATTCAACATTAGTGTTAGATTTTATTTCTTCCCCTGTGACTTTTTTTCTTCCTTTTCTACTAGTTTTCCAAAGAAACCAAAAAGTATACAGCTTAGCAGTTTAATTAATAGTACACATAGCATTTTGTCTGGATAGCCTTATTTAAAGCTTTTCTCTACTATGTTGATGTTCTGTGTCAAAATTTTATTAGCATTAATAAGAATGTTAATAATCATACTAATGTATTAGATTAGTGTATAAATATTGACACAAAGTCACTAAAGTTATAGATGATTATATTATTATAGTGAGGTTCAATCATTAATTTTAGAGTTAAAAGTAAAATAAATAAGCTTATAAAGTTAATTGATTAATGTTATTATGGGAAATATTAATTATCTTTTATATATAAGAATAGTATTTCTATTTTGACTTAAGTTCAGACTTTTTAGCACCCATAGTATAGCCTTGTTTATTAAAAGGTCTTTATTTCATTTTCAACTAATTGTTAGTCATATATAGTTAGCCTCTTTAGTGATGCTTGGAGCTGTTGGCTAGACATGTTAATAAACTATTGTTATATGATTGGATTTGAGTAATCATTTTATTTATACTTGTCTATGATCTTTTATATTGTATCTAGAATGTTATATTTCTATTGGACAAATATATAACTCAATGATGAGAATTTTATGTTTGGGTTTTATGAAGGCAAGTTGAAGAATGATTATTAATTGCTTTGCGACTAATGATTACTTGTAAACTTCATTCAAGACTATTGACATTTTACTTAGCTTAATAATAGTTAATCTTGCTTTACCAAATAGTATTACAAAGGATCGTATTGTTAGATTTGCATGGTTTCTCCATGTTAGCATTTTGATCCATCATTGTCAATATCATTTGGTTGTGTTTAGCCTTTGGTGTTGGATTTTATTGAGTTTTGAATATGGTAATTCATTCCTTAATGATGTGTGAAGGTTTTATTTTAAATACTAAATATACTATCTTTGACTTTATTTAGCTTGGTTGTTAAAAGCTTTGAATAGTGATTTTCTCTTACTTTCTTTTAATTTTGTTATGGTATTTGATGATATTGAATTAATGTCCTATCGTCGACATTGTTAACATTTAGATTAGAGTGAAATGAGATGTTTCTTCATAAGTTTCATTAGTCTCAATAGAATTAGTGTTGATAGTAACTTTATATTATTAGTATTTATGCATTTATTAATTAGCAACTATATTAACATTTAAATGAGATGAGTGGCAAGTTAAATTAATCTTGTGGTAAATGAGATTGTTTAGTAAGGGTTGAATTTTGGCTTTTCCTTGAAAAGTGATTTAATTATGGACTATATTAACTTTATGAAAGTAAGGGATAGTAATCAATATTGAAGTTATTATGTTGGATTTGAGTTTGGATTATATTAATTCTTATTACACTTATTATGGAGTTATGTATTGATATGAATAGATGCATCCATAAAGGATTGTTTTAATTATCACTTATTGTGCATAACTTCATTATGTATATACTAATAAAGTTTATTCATTATAGATTCTTGGAACAACAACATAGGTAGGTGATCTTTAAAACCATCTTGGAGCTCAATTTATTTTCTGTTTCATGGTTTTTTGCCTTAAGTAATTTTTTGTCATTTATTGTCTAGGCCAAAGCTATCAAATTGAAAATTATGATAAGTTATTATTCCCAAATCATAAAGTGGACCTTTTTTTCATGATGTAAAAGTGGATATGAACTTGAAAAGAGGCCTTTTCTTAAGAAAATAGGTAAATTAATGTATATAAGTCTGTGAAAGCTTTTGGCCTTTTTTAGGATTTTATTTGTTTGATGGCTTTCTTCAAGCACTACATCTCTGGGTTTTAGAAGAATAGAAGGGCAAATGAGCATTTCAAATTAAATCTAAATGAAGCTATGCATTGTCCCTTATATTGTTATCCTCTTTAATCCAAGACTATCTCAATATTTCACAAATGATAAAGCTGGAAGCTTTTATAAGAATGTCCGCAATCATATTTTATATTTTAATATGTGCAAGTTGGATAACATTTTTAAAAATAAAGAAGAAGAGTTTTTGGACCAATATTATGAAATAAACATGTCAACCTTTAGTAGCAACATTGATTGCATTATATTCTTCTTCGGATGTTGAAAGAGCTACTGAACTAGTGAGTATGCAAAACACTGATCAAATGATTGATACATACCTAACTCTATCTCCACTAATTTGGATCATCCTCAAGCTCTGTAACACGCTGGGATTTACCTTTGAGATCATGATTCACGAAGCTTGAGCTCATGACCAAGACTCCTTAGGTCTAAATTTCTTTTTGAACTGTTCGAAAAGAGTCTCATCATTTATGTTGTTGAAATGTCAAGATTGGAATCTTTGTTGTTTCCCAGCAGATGGATCTTGGTCTGCCCGTTTATAGTTTGAATGCACATGCATCACCTCCACATTAGGTTCTGAATTGACACAGATAGGTGCTTTGTCTTTTAGCTACAATTGATGTTGATCTCGTGCTATCCATCAAATTGAGTTCCTTAGCTGCCTGGATTTCTTTCTTAATCAATTCTTAGGTTAAGCCTTGCTTGAGTGAAGAGAGATGTTGCTTTATGCTGCGAGACAACCTAATAATGAGCATGATGTCTGTGAGAACAGACATGAGAAGTACACAAGCTCCCATTTGAAGAAGACATCCTCCATAGCTATTAACACGACTATAAAACTTGTGAGCAAATTCCTCAGTATGACAATTGACAAGCTTAATAACCTCATTGAATTATGCTAGCCAAGATGTTTTGATGTAGTCATTGTGGAGTATCTCCCAAGCATCTACTACTAAACTTGACGTGAATATCATGCTGTCCACTGAAATCCCTGAGATCTTTCTCAATCAGTTAAAGAAAGCGCCACTTCTTCCTCTGGTGTCATCTCTAATGGAGGCAACACAATGCAAGACACCACTCCCCACACCTTCTTCTTCGCAAGCGAATGAAAGCAAACTCATGGGTGAATTGAATCCTTTATAACTGCCATGATACTCTTGATTGAGACCCTGCAGTAAGATATGGTTATATTGCCACAAATGATTTTAGGTGGCGATTGCATTATCATAGAGCATGTATGTGGAAATGGAGAATGATATTGCATACATGAGTGATGAAGAACTGATGTCGACATCTTGGATCCCAACCGCCAGCTCAAAGGCTGCATGGAAGCCAATGCAAACAATACAAACAATACAAACAATCTTCTTAACAGGGCAATTGCTTGGTTGTAAGGGCTTTCAATTTAGTTTATGTTATTTTTCCCTCCCTCATGGAACACCGTCCAGGTTAGATCATGGCATCCTTCCCTTCTGCTGGAGAAGAAGGGGTGATGAACACTGAGGAATCCTTCATCCTTCAAATATGAGAAAATTCTATAATATTCCTACAGATTCACGAGACTCAATTGATACAAACAATCCCCTTACACCCTCAATTGGTTGGTTGCAAGAGCCTTTCATAGTTTATGTCAGTGAGCTCAAGTGGCTCCCCCAAGTGAAGCCCACACCTTTTAGTAGGGTGGTAGTGGTACCAGGAGAGCACTTGCGTCTCACTGTACACCATTGGTTGTCCGAGGCAGATATGATCACTGTTCTGCCTATTTCAGATTGGAAATGTGGTCTCTAGCAGCGCGCACCTCCCTTCAAGCCCCTGCCCTGTTGTTCGGAGGAGACACAGCGCTGCTATGAAGAGTATTGTCAGCATCAGGAAAAGTGAGAAGACAAGAGAAAGGAGGATGAAAAACTGTAGATTCATTAGATAGAACAAGAGCTATAAATATTTCCAAGCTTAACGATTTAATTACTGATGTTAGATGGTATAATAATATTCGACTTATATGTTTTGTAGTACTAATGTTGGCTTTTGAGGGTTACATTTTTCTGAATGTCCTCAGCTCTCTTCATTCGCTCAGAAAACATACGCCACTCTTTGTTACACCTTTCCCGCACCTGAAAAAACAAAACAAAAGGAAAAGTAAGGAAGTTGCCTTACTACCAAAACCATCTTACTCCTTCCCAGGGTGGTCTCCCCTCGACGGCTTGTCCCTGTTCACAAAAGAGAGCGATTAGAGCATAAAATCTAAAGAGAAGGGTACAAAACTCTCTCTGAACATAAAAGAGCACTTGCCTGTGAGCCAAGAGACGGAACGCCTTTGTGTCGTATCCACTGTGCATCCACGACTCCAATCCTCTCGTGAGCAGGCTGCTCAATCATAGGAAAGGAATGTAAGCAAAAATAATTAAAGCAAAGTACTGGCAAAGCTCACCGTTGCACACTTTTGCAGGCCAAAGTCTAGTCCCCAGCCATGCACCAAGTCATTTTGAATCATATGCCACACACAGCGCCAGGCCTTGCGCGAAAAAACTGGAGCCATGATCTCCACAAATCTGTAGCAAACTCAGTCGATAGAAATAGCTAGAAGCAATGAAGATAAATAGAAACTAAACACAAAACTTACGCAGCACAAGGAGGCTTGTGAGGCCCTGCACTACACCAACCTGGCTTCTCTTCCGTGGTTCTACATATGAAAACAAAAACATAAAGAAAAAGAAACAGAGAAACGTTAATCGTTACCAAAAGTTATAAAGAAAACGCAAGCTTAACTTGTGAACCTCAACATCGCCCCTTCGTTTGGTCATTTGCCAAGTCAATCCTCTGTCGGGCTCTAGCCCAGGTTGTGATATATCTAGTCCATGTTTCCTCACAAGCTCGATATATCTGCATTAAACAAGCAAAGGAAAAAAAGAAGAGTTTAAAGGCACGAGCTCCACGAAAACATCACTCTCTACGTACTTATGCGCGTCAAAATGCTCTAAATCCAAATCCTCGTCCCAAAGAAACAGGTATTCGAAAGGCTCTATCACGTCGGGATGCAGAAATCTCTTCGCATACCACCTGAAAGAAGATGTAAACACCAAAGACAAAGTGAAAGAAAGTCTATACCATTTGGTTTGCTTCCTCACGCTAACATGGACGGCACGTTGAGACCACTCGAACTGATCCCACGCATCCGTGTGCGCGTCGTAGTGAAAAAGAACTATCATCCAGTCTTTGTCAAACTGCAGCATCAAACTTAGTGTCCAGATGTTTTTTCGAAAGCAATTAGGATGTTTCAACCTTGGAAACAGCTTTGTCCACCATTTCCATCTGATTTGATCCGACAGTAAGCGTTAGCAAATATCTTGGCTTGAAGGGAAGATCCTGGTAAGAACAAAAACAAAGTCTAGAATTGTGATCAACAATCGAGAAGAAAACTACTCACCTCCTCTGGATTCCCCCAAAGTCTACGCAAAAACAAATCAGTTTGTCCTTCTACAATCGTTGGTGGCAATGTTTCTGTCCCAGCAGCCTGCGTGAAAAACGAGAAAATATTTTTTTTGAAGAATTCTTCTAGCCAAAGGGGGAAAGAATGTACCTTGCAGATCACAGGTTTTCTACAGTCTTCCATCATGGATCGCATCGACAAAAAGAAGCTCGACTGGAGAGAATCAATCCCGATGTAGCTAAAGGCAATGAGAAAGCAATGCGCTACCTCTGAGAAAGTAATGCCGATAAAAATCCCCAGCATCATCGCAAAGAGGGTGGAAAAAAGCGCCTTGAAGTGCTCGCTGCGACATAGTCGGCGGATCATTGCCGCGAGCTGCGAGAGATCCCCTCCAGTGTCCACTCACAGGCGAGGGCGGCCAGAACAGACGAAAGGAAATATTTTCATTTTCCCCAAGAACCCTAAATACCAAATCCTTCTTTTTGCCCTTTTTAGGGCTCGGATTTTAGGGTTCTTGCGCGGAGAGAGCGAGGGACATGGGGCACGATGCGCCATATCTCACGCCCAAGGCGATCGCCAAGCGCCTCAAGGCCAAGGGCTTAGGCAAGCAGTGGCTCTACTGCCAGATGTGCCGCAAGCAATGCCGCGACCAGAATGGATTCAAGTGCCACTGCGAGAGCGAGGGTCACATCCGCAACATGGAGCTCTTCGCAGAGAAGGGCGACCAGCTGATCGAGGAGTACTCGCAGAGGTTTGAGGACAAATTCATGGAGTACATGCGGCGCTGCTACCGATCGACGAGTGTGCCGCCGAATGTGGTGTACAACCAGATCACGCGGGAGAGGAATCACGTCCGGATGAACGGCACAAGGTGGGCTACTCTCTCGGAATTCGTAGAGCATCTAGGCCAGACTGGGAAATGCAAGCTCGAGGAGACCGAGAAGGGTCTCCACTTGCGATTTCTCGAGGATCCGGATCATCCAGAGACGCAGTTCAAGGAGGGTCTCAAGAGGAAACGAGCTAGCGGCGAGGCTGCGGATATCGAGCGGCACGAGAGGGAGATTCAGCTGCAAAGGGAGCGTTGCCTGATGGAAGTGGGAGCCAAAGGGGAGAAGAAGGAGAAGTCCCAAGGCTTGGAAGACGAGGAAGACGAAGAGAAGCAAGACAGTGTCGAGCAAGAAAAAGATGGAAAAGATGGTGGCGAGGAAGAGAGAGCAGGTCCGACTGGTGATGTGAAGGTGGCGTTTAGTTTCTCCAAGAAGAAAAGCAGCAATCTTCCACCGCTTCCTCGGCCACCAGCGGCAGCAACTTTTGGAGGATCGATTGGCTCGTCCTCGTCGCAAAAAGCTCCTCCGTTTTGCTGGCTGAGCGAGAGATTGGTGGTCAAGGTGATGGCCAAGAAGCTCAAGAGCGGAGCTTACTACAAGAAGAAAGGGGTTGTGAAGAGCGTGGCGAGTGAGAAGGTTACCGGGGAGATTGAGATGCTTGAGGGTCATGGCGAGGTGATCAGGGTGCATCAGTCGGAGCTGGAGACTGTGATCCCACAGATTGGTCGCAGCGTGAGAGTGGTGAATGGATCACACGCTGGCTGCGATGCCAAGCTCGTGTCTTGTGAGGAGGACAAGTTCTCGGTCACGGTGGAGATTAGCAATGGACCTCACCGAGGTAGCATTGTTGGTGGTCTTCCCTATGAAGACGTGTGCAAATTATCTTCTCCTAGTTAATTTAATTGTTCATTCGATGGTTTTTAAAGGTACACCAAATAAGAATTAAATTTATACACATACACATATACACATACACATATATAGATATATGTATATGTATATACATATATATATACACATACACATATACACATGTATGTATAGCCGGGGAAGAGAACTCCTCGTACTCTTACTATCAATTTTCACGTTTGGCCGAAGTTCTTCAATAGGAATCTTAAGGATAATATGTACCATTAGTTAGATTGCTTTATAGTAATTGTTATCTATCATTCTTGGGATGATGCTTAGCAATTATATGAGTTCCCACATGCCTCTAAAGGATGGTGTTGTAGTGGTATGAGCTTATATAATATATATCTACACATATATATACATATATATATACACATATACACATATGAGAGAGAAAATGATGTGAGGTCTAAATATGATGTTGTATATTAATATTAATGGCTGTACACTAAAATTAACTTAATAGGATTTTGATAGCTATTAGATTGGTTTTTATTTGGATTATTTGCTCTTATGTATAAGCTAAATTTTTGAGTTAATAGATATGTACATTTCAGTATTTTCTTTTTATATTCCATGTGGAGGTGAAATATAACTTTGATTGTTCCTAAGGAGTGTTTGGATTTTGGATTTTAGATTAAATTTAGCTTTGCATTGTTTGGATTTCATTTTCTTTATAACTTTTTCAATTTTTTCTCTTTGAATTTTTTTCCATTTTATTCATCTTTATAGTAGAGTAGTAGTTTCTTCCTTCTTTGACTCTAGAGCAACAGTTAGTGTAATTGTTTAATGCTATACGGTTGCAATTGAATAATTAAACTCAGTTGATAATGACATTCATAGTGTATGGTACAACTCCTCATACTCTTACTATCAATCTTCACGTTTGGCTGAAGTTCTTCAATAGGAATCTTGGGGATGATATGTACCATTGGTTAGATTGCTTTATAGTGATTGTTATCTATCATTCTTAGGATGATGCTCAGCAATTATATGAGTTTCCCACGTGCTTCTAAAGGATGGTGTTGTAGTGGTATAATAGTTTAAATGCAGCCACTCATATGAATTGGAGCATTTTCTTAGACATCTTTAAACATATATTTGAACATGCTAACAATTGCGACAATGTCTTCTAACAATTGTATCATCTTTGTCAAGGGCCATTTGAGTTAGTGATGCAATTTAGCATTTTGGGATTGTTTAGCTTAATATATATTGTGAGGAATAAACCTATTATACTTAGTTATTATTGCTTAAACAAGCATTTATCACACTTAAAAATAGCTCAATAAAAATTTCATTAAGGGGGGTTATTCTCCAACTAATTAGAATTTCAACATGAGTACGAATCCAATTTTTTTTCTCATGGTATATGCTTAGTATGGGCTATCTCTAAAACTTTTTTTAAGGTGGAAATTCATATATATTCATTATAATCAAGCGAGAAAAACAGTACAAAAATATAAGCTTAACCATTTTAAAACCCTAGTCAATCACTCTGAGTTTTAGGGCAACTAGGAACCAATAACAAAAAGCTTAATTTCAGCTATAATATATCAATATTGGAGCTAGTTGTTGTGTCTCTCTTCTATAAAGTTAGGTAGGTTATGTATAACCAATCAACTTGAAGCATAGTTTAGCTTGCACTTGTGTGTCTACATTTGTTCTGCATCTGGTCTAAGCCCAAGTTTCATACAATGTGCAAGAAGAAAAGCAGAATAAAAGGTTATAACAATTGAGAAAGCTAATGCAAAGGAAATAAAAAGATAGTTAATAAGAAGAGCTCATGGGAGAAGGCAATAATGAGGCAACTTAAAGTAGAACAAGTAGTAATAGCAAAAGAAGCACAAAAAGTTGAGAGGGAGAAAAAGAAAATCAAAAAATAAATTAGACTTGTTGCAAGGAAAGCTTCAAAGAGTTTTTACAAGCAAGGATTAGAAGTAGCTGTGCAAAAATACAAAATAAGCAACATTTTCCTTTAGTCTTTTCAATAAAACTCTGAGCCAAATCTTGAGCTTGGGAAGGAAATTTTAATGTCAAATAACCCCTAGCATTATAAGCTTGGAAAGCTTCCTTACATGTAACTACTTCTACTCATTAATTTTTAATTGATTTTGCATACCTCACTTATAGTAATTTTATGGAAGAAAGACAACAAACAGCCCCAATATTAATATATTGTGGCTGAAACTAAGTTATATATTCGAAAAAAAAGAGAGCTAACTCAATTTGATAAACATAACAAGGATATACTCCACAACTTTTTTCCAAACTTAAAGTAGTTACAATTAATTTGGTAAAAGGTGGATGAAGACTCAAGGTTTTAACTGATTAAATTTTTTTATTAATTATAATGAATGTAAACATTCTAATCTATCTCTGTTCTTATAAATCCAATAATATAAACTTGTTAATCATATTATACAAATTATGTGGTGCTTTTTTTAGATTTTTTTTGCATTTTTTTTCAAAATCTTTTAATTGTGTAATCAATGTCTTTATTGAGAAATGGATTCTTCACATTTATTTGATGAATGTTTAGATCACAAAAAGTTGTAATGGCAAATAGAAGTGAGCTTGGCCATAAAACCCATCCCTTTAAGAATATCTTTTGGTTATAATTTGTGCTTTAAATTTAATAATTAACTTTAAATATATTAAAATATAGCTTGTATATTTAGTTAAGAGCTAAATATTGTTACTAAAATTTAGAGTGCATCCACTTGAGTGTCTCTACCAGTGACTTAATAGTCTTGGTTGCTTCTTCATTAACAATGCTTTTTTAATTAGAGTGTGTGGCTCATCAACAACAATTACTTTATAAGTAGTAATATAATAAATATAGTTGCTTCCAAGATGTTGAAAAAGATATTATTTAAATGCTATAAAATTGCAAATTTGTCAATATGATTATTCTGAATCATCATTTAATTTTTAGATTTTGAATTTGAATCAAATAATGAGTATGATGATTCAATTGATTATATTGCAATACTAGCCACTTGCTGAAAGAATAAATCATTTTTCTCTAAGAAGCACTCAAAAGAATTATCTACTTTAAATTTTTCTAAAATTTAAATTAGTATTTATATACTCATGATATATAATTAAGCCTTCTTTTTGCATCACTTTTGACTTTGAGAATGCCAATTATTAAATGATAAATTTTTTCAGGCCATATATACAATCATATCATCCCCTTTTTCTTTTTTGGTGATGCACAATCTGTATCTTGTGGAGACACAAACCAATCAAAAGTTTATATAGTAAATAATTAAATATGATAGAAATTTTTGTCATTTAGAATATAACCAAATATTGTACAATTTTTAGATTTATTTTAAAACTTATATTAAATGTTTATATTATTTTATTTGACCATCTAGAAAGTTTATAATAAAGATATACAACTATGTAAGTAGCTTCAATTTAGAACTTAAACTCATAACTTTTCTTTTTCTCTAAAATAAATAAAGTGGTAAAATAAAAATTGTTCTAAATACACATTAGTTTGAGACTTTCTTAAATTCAACCAAAGATGCCACAACTATTGAAAGGAGACTTCACTACAACTTTAATGTGTTTCAATAAACAATATGTAATATCATTTAATTACACTATTTTTCCTATGTTTTTTTTATGATAACAAAGGGAAATAACATATAGTGAGATAAATTTTTACTTAAAAATTTATGATAAAAATTGAATATGCCTAATTTTATTTTTTATTTATAAATTC